AAACTTCCGGAGATCTGCTCTGTATTTAGTGGAGAGATGATCGCTATTAGAGAAGCTTTGACGTACATTGATTCAACGGAGAGTAACAAATGGGTCGTGGTAACCGATTCAAAGAGCGCAATCCTGGCCATTGAAAAGAGAACACCGACAACTACACTGGCAAGATCTATTAAAAATATCTGGTGGAAACTGACAGAAAAGGGAAAGGAAATAGTATTCATGTGGGTTCCTTCACACTGCGGAATTGTCGGAAATGAACAGGCAGACAAAGCAGCAAATATGGCGAGAAGGCTAGATACAAATCCAACAGTTATAATCAAAGAAATCCCGATAGAAGATTTCATACATGATATAAAAAAAAAAATTGCGGGTAATGTGGCAGAACGTATGGCAACAAAAAGAAACCAAATTAAAAGGAATAAAAAGCCACTGTTCCAAATGGAAAACTAGCAACCGACTATCTAGAAAAGAAGAGACAGTCCTCTGCCGCTTACGAATTGGGCATTGCGAATTTTCACATGCCTACTTACTAAGAGGACTAGACCCACCGACCTGCGAAAGCTGTAAGGTGCAAAGAACTGTCCAACACATCATTCAAGACTGCCCAGTATTTGAGAATGTAAGGAAAAATCTCAATATGGCTCAGAGCCTAAAAGAAAACCTCAGCGACAACGAAAACGCCGTGGAAAAAACCTTACAGTTTTTAAAAAAAATAAAATTCTACAATAGAATATAAATAGGAAGTGTTGCCAATGACCCTGCAGGGTAGAGGCAACAATAAAAAACAAATAAATAAATAAATAACAATAAAATTATACAATAGAGATATGTTGGAATCTATAGAATTTTTATTTTCATATATATATATATATATATATATATATATATATATATATATATATATATATAATATTTTATTTATTTAGCTTCTACCCCTAAGGGTTATTGACTCAATTTTATATATCTTTTATATATATATATATTATAATTTTAGATATCTTTTAAATATTTTAATATTTTTGCTATTTATATTTCCTCAACTTGCAGGATATCTTTTATTTCCGTTCCCATTTGTAGATTTTTCCTTATAACAGTTACCTACTGCGTTCTAACAATATATGTTTCACTGTTGTGGGTACTTTGTAATGTGTCCAAGTTGGAGCTTCCAATCCTCGCTGGAGGTATCCATTGGAAAACTCACAATGTCCGATTCGTATGCGACTTAGTATCACTTCTTCTCGTCTAGACTTTCAGTTTGATGTGTTCCATTTTATTCATTTTTTTTTTTTAAATTTCTTTTGTTTTGCCGAACTCATTTCCCATTCACTTTTCCATTTATTTTGAAAGGATGAGGCAAGTTGGTGCATCCAATCTTTTCGGGGGATGGTCTCAATTTAGACTTTGATAACTTGAAAATGAGCAACGTTATTATGACTTAAATATGTATCGTAATATGGGGTAACTTTGGGATTTGATGGATAACTTTGGAACAGCGGGTAAAATTTGGTTTGTGGTGATTCCGTGGTTTATACACTGTGTTGGTTCAGTCTGCAAAAACGTGCTTCATGTTGGTAATTTGATAATCGAACCCTAGTTCACTACATTCGTCGTGTAGTTAGGTTTTATTTATTTCTATTGTTTTTTTTTTTTCGAAATTCTTGTTTTCATGAAACTTTCGTTTGTGCCTCAAGAACTGTTGTCAACCTCAGGTTACCGAAGTATTAATATCGGCCATGAAGAAATCGGCTTCTAATTGGAAATGGTCTTCAACGCATGATGAAATTCACTACTCAAAGGACAAATTGGCCGGCGAGAAAAGAGCTGCAAGTTAACAGCGATATCTTGGTTTCAGTTAACAAAAAATAAATTGTACGAAGTGTTTGAATAATTTTTGTTTCATTTTGTGTTAATTCAGTAAATTTTCAAGGCCTAATTGTTTGAAAAATTACGCTTTGTAAGCTCTTTGTACTATTAAAACGAATCTATTGTTCTCGTGTGCTCTTGAACATCGTATTGTTGGATAAAATTGGTATACACTCATTTTCCTTGTTTATTATGTAAATAAGGAGCCTATACGATATTGTCGGGAAACATTGGTACAAAATCATGTTTCCTAGGTTTTATAATAGAAAGAATGCCGTGTCCCAATCTTACCCCAATCGATGGTGTAAGATTATCACATATTAAAATTTTTGTTAGTAAAATACTTTTGTTTCTAGAGTTATTGTTTTGCCATATTTTGTAAGAGGAAGACTGAACTTACATATTAATATTTTTTTTAGCATTTTCACTTTGAAAATAAAGATAGAAGCAGCTTAAAACTTTGAAAAGTGTCCTTGAAGACGCCATATATAATTTATTTAATGATGTTATAAACCTAGGAGTTTTGGAAAGAATGTTTATTAATTGTGGACAAGGTTTTGAATATTATTTTAGAGTTAACAGCCATGATAGAAACACTAAACTTCCATTTGAGATTAATAATCCATCCGTTCTTTGCTGCTTTGTTAAGTTAGTTTGAATGAAAGTTTGCTGACTTTGCTAAGTAAATTAAGACTAATAGGATTACCGGCTAACTTGGTAATGCCATACCAGGTACAGGGGAAGCTGTCGGGTCTATTGAGATAAGCAAGAGGACTGTTTACATTTGGTAGGGTAATCGAATTTTGTATTAGACTACTCTAGATAATTTAACAAGAACTTCTCAAGCTCTGTTTTTATTTCCTCTTCAAATTATAGCTGCCGAGCAAATTAATTTTTTAAATATTTTTTTCTTGAAAGTTTTTGTTCTTTTTAATGCAAATTAATCCTTGTAGAATAAGTCAGATATTGTACTATTTTAGTCCGTGGTACAGGTCCCTTTTTATCGCATTATTGGCATCCGCCTAAATCTTCCTGAATAGCTTCATCTCATCGTAATTTTAAACTTTTTTATCTATGAAAATTCTCGGAATTGGGGTGTTTTCTCGTTAAATTAATTAATTTAGTTATGCACCAATAACTCATAAATATTCATTTGCTCATTACATAAATCGAATGATTATTTTAGTGCCACGGCCTGTTTTAGCTCAATTATCACATGGCGAGCATCAATTTGTTATTTTCTTATATTTTTCATTGTTTCATACTGATAATAATAATAAAACAAGAATAATTTTAACTTATTAAAACGCATTACTTATATTCTTATATAAAATAAGTAATTATTTAATAATAAATTAAAAATGTATAACAAAATATAAAATTTCTTTATAAGAAATGTAAACATTGAAGATAATGATATTCACGCCGCATTTAATTGCTCAGTGCTACTTAATTTGTTAAAAATGATTATCAACTACAGATATGCAGATAAGTTGCAGGTATAATTACGAACTTTGTAATTTAGTCTGCGTTTTTCTAAGAATAAAATGTAATGGTGAAAATTGACGAGAAAATATTGAGGCTCCTGATTTAAGATGTCGTTAACACGGAGGACCGTTTTGACTGATCGCCATTTATTGAGGATTTTACAAGGGATTTTGGAATGAAAGGATTGGATAAGAGAGGAATTTAATGGTTTATTAGAGCCACAAAGCTCGATCCCGTAAGTCCAAATAGGCCTTATAATAGTAATATAAATGAGTCTTTTGTAAATAGTTGGAAGTTAAGAGCGTTTGTCTAGTAAGTGCAGCAATAGTCGAAAACGTTGAGCGGTTTCTAGTCGTTTCAGTCTGGTATGAGGATTCCAAGTGAGTCGTTTTTCCAGGTGGAGTTCTGGGTATCGAATTTGTTATACAGTGGGGTATTAAACGAAGAATCTAGATTTAAAATTTAAATAGATTTAAATTTAAAATTTAAATAGATTTAGATGTTATTTTTCCAAAATCTATTTCTCATATCTATAGATCAATAGTTACGAAACGCAGGTAACGAAAGATGAGAAGTGAAACGATAAACTGATAAGTGAAAAAATAAACAAATAAAATTCTTCAAAATACTGAACCGTGTAGCTCCATTTCTTTTTAAATCTAGATTCTTCGTTTAATACCCCACTGTATAACAAATTCGATACCTAGAACTCCACCTGGAAAAACGACTCACTTGGAATCCTCATACCAGACTGAAACGACTAGAAACCGCTCAACTATTGCTGCACTTACTAGACAAACGCTCTAAACTTCTAACTATTTACAAAAGACTCATTTATATTACTATTATAAGGCCTATTTGGACTTATAATACTTGGACTTATAATAGCCTATTTAAACTTGGGATCGAGCTTTGGTGCTCTAATAAACCATTAAATTCCTCTCTTATCCAATCCTTTCAATCCAAAACCCTTCGTAAAATCCTCAATGCTCCCTACTGAGTGACAAATAAAATCATGGATAACGGACGACCTTAGTGTTCCATATGTTTCCGATTTAACTCAACCCAAATAACTATTCTTGCTTAATAAACTTCTGCACTATCCAAATCCTCTTGTATCTAACCTTGCTTCCTTTTTCATTCCTGATAAACACCTTTAGTGGTGTGTGATAAGAAGATGGCCTCGGGACCTTCTAATATAGAACCTTAATTGGAGTGCTACCAATGGGCAGTTTCTCTAATTTGTACATGTCATGTTACTAATTTCCGTATTGGTCATTGTACACAACCGAGTGTCGTGTTGGCATGAATCCTAAACTAAAAGAGTACTAACGATTATTCATGAATCATTAACTGAAATTAAATTTTATTAACTTAATCGAAACCTTTTGTATCACCAATTCTCAGATGCGTGGCTTCTTCTTCACGGCTTTATCTTTAGGAGACATAAAATATTTATTTGTTGATCACGCAGCTATAAATAAATGAATATCATCCTTGTTTATTAATACTGAATGCGAATTCATTTTTCTTGGATTTAGTTGAGGGATGGCTGATGGAATTACTTTATCGAAACCTAAATAGTATTTGTGGTAGAGATAAACTGGCTTGTATTTAATTCGTAAATGATAAATCCATGTTGAGTAAGAATGGTATTCTATACCTTCGACGCTGGATTATTTGAACTCTGTAAGAATGTTAACTTTCATCCTCATCCTTACCGTGAGGTACATCGCATTGTAAATATGTACAAGTGAAGGTATGTTGGACGTGCCCTGAGTTACATCAGCTCAAAACATGGGCTCGCCATTCTTGTGAGTCATATTCCACTGACTCATTGCTAACTTTTGCTCTTGTCATCCAACTCTTTTTCACGTTCTGTCTTTTTCTATATGTTGCAGATTACTTAGTTTAACTTAAAATTGAATTTCCTTCGGTTTTTCTTCTGCCCATTTTTCATTATTCTACTATTTTAGGTGATTTATACCTCGCTATATCAATGTTAATGAAAAAAAAAAAAATGAAAAAACATCATACAAATTTTTCTTTGTTCCTTGGAATTTTTATGAAATAAAATAAAAATTATGGTAATTTAATAAAAATATTTTTGAACATAATCTATCTTTTTTTTCGCTCTCTCTTTCTCTTCCCTGCCCCGCCATTACGCGGTTTTTCCAAGTCAGGAGTGAGAGCGGGGGGTTATGCTAGAGTTAAAAGCCCTTGACACCGGTAATCTTCAGTTAATCAGATTGTGGAGCAACCTGTTTTAAACATAATGTAATAGTAAATAGTAAAAATGGCTTTCCAGCGTAAATAATGTTTTTCTTGGCCTTATATTTGTATTATTTCAAATCGTCGGTGTTCCGTAAGTATATCGAATCTTACTGTCCATTACTTTTATGAAGACCATATTGTACAAGAATTTTTCTCCATTGCTACTTTAGCGAGATATTCACAAGGGATAAGCATAAGCGACCAGTCTGCTACAAAAAATGGACATCACCTCATAGACCGTAACTGAGATTTCGATTACTTCTAGTAGTTGTTAAATGCTATACTTAAGAAGGTCTATTACTATAACATATGTTTTCTATAGAATATTGAATGGAAAATCTAATTGTTCAAGAAAAACAATTTAACATATTTTTTGATATCAATAATAACAATTTTGCTTTATAAAATTAGTTGTAATAATACAAATTAACATAACTACACTCCTTTTCCTATCATGTAAATAATAGTGATAAAGGGATCGCTGATATTAGTGCAGTCAAAATATGAAAACGTAAAACGTTCAAAAACGTGCAATATGGATTTTAAAGCATACTTTGATCATACTTCTATGTATTTATCATTATTGTGATTTTTTCCAATTGATATACCAACATCATAATAAATTAAGCAACTATATAAAGGATAAAACTAATCATACAAAATTTTCAAATTATTTACTCAGTCTTCTAAATCGACGTTATTCTTTTTTTATATCACGTAGCTTATTTTGTTTTCACCCTTGCTTTATCATTTGTATTGATCAGCTCATTCAACGATAGTTCTTTGTTTTATCAAGTTTTTTTTTAAATAACAACAGGAATGAGAAACCCGAAATAAATTTTAATAAAACCAGAGTTTGGAACTATGGAGTTGGTATTTCCAAATTTATTTACGTAGCACATTTCCATAATTTATAGATTGAATAAAAACCGACTTACAAGCGAAAAGCAAACGACTGTCTCACTCAATTGTAACGAAAGCGGGGATTTACAATTTACAGGGCAGTCATCGATGCGGCAACTGCTGTTCAGGGAGCCGTCAAAGAACAAATTATTTATAGAAAACTCAGTTATACGTCACAACCTTCTTCCTTGTCCTTTCAAAGGTCGGGTTTATATTTTTATTTTCAAACGCCGCTATTAGACCGTGTAGAAAAAGTGTGTGTTCCGGAAGGGTAAACTTGTCTAACGTCTTCCTGTCAACGCTCCTCTGTCTACTTTAGTTTCGAGGTCACCTCCAACAAGATGTACGATAAATGTAAAATGTATATATACCAATGAACTGAATTTTGTAAATCTCAAATTAATCAATAATATATTAATATTAAGATATACACATTAGGTCTACAGCACGGGCGGATCGACGGAGGGGGGGAGGGACTTTCGGGCTGAAGTCCCTCCCCCCCAAAATGTTAAAATATAACCATGTTTTATGGAAAAATATATTAAAAAATTATCTCTTAAAGTATTATTGTTCGTGTAATTACATTTAAAACGACTTAATGAATCTCTTAAACACCATTTCATGCAGTTAGTTAGTTTCTTTCTTTCTTTTTCAAAGTAATTATCGACATTTTTATGGAAAAAAAAATTTCCGGGCTAAAGTCTCCCCCTCCCAAAAAAAATTAAATATATCCGCTAGTGGTCTACAGCCTTAAGAAAAATATCCCCATCCCCACATATATACTCCATTCCCCACATATATTATTACAGTAAGGCTCGAAATCGGTTTTGTACCAAATATAAGCTCCTGTCATGCTCAAATACCATGAATGGGGTACCGTTGGATTCAGAATTTCACGGGGGATTAGCGAATCGTATTCTCCACTTTTGTTTTTCTTTCTAAAATAAATATAAAGTCGATACAAAAATTTTGCTTAGCTTCGATTCTGGGACGGTGGTAGGTCTGTAGATCGATACGGGACAAATTGGCTCTTGAAGATTTTGATGCGTACAGCAAGACCCGGATAGTTCCTCCGGAACTATCAGGATCCTGCCTTTTTAAGCCCCAAAACGTACTATTTTCGAGATAACGCAAGGCATAGGGTTCGCATCCACACAACCTTACATTAATTGTAGTACTGTCATGGAATACATGTCTCATATCGTCGACTTGAGGTCTCTATGATCGAGAGAGGAGGAGTTTATATTATTTATCGATAGTGTTTAATATCGGCAAGCCATATCATCGTTAATTTTTCACCAAATCTCAAGATTGAGCCACCAATTTCGAAGGCTTCTTTCTCCTTCAGGCGGGCAAAATAGTCCAATCACTCCAAAAATTCTGGCGAACAAGTTATGAAAGAAAACAAACTTTATTTGCGAACAACTAAAAAATTAGACATTTTCCCCTTGGTTATAGCCATGATTATATAAAACATTACTAAATTTTCTACAAAAGGAAAAAAAAAAATCATTGAAATCGGACAATTTTTCGCAATGATACAGCTTATTGAAATTTGTAAATATGTTGGTTCCAAACAAAAATGAAGATTTAAATTAATTTTGTTTCCTTTGTCGATTATATTTATCGATAAAGTAACAATTGATTCCTTTATCTTTTGATACGTTACATTATTTTCTTTTCTTATTAATTTGGCATTTGATAACAATATGCTGTGCGAATTTTTCGCATGGGCCTACTAGTTTTTAAAGAAATTAAAATCTCAAACTGGTCTCAGATTTTTTAAACAGACTTGACTCATAGGCACTGCCAATAAAATAATGTTAACATTAGCTGGAATATTTCAATATTAGCAGAATTTTTCTATTGTTTCAATACCCCTCTTCCCTCCCCCCCCCATAAGCTTAAATCTTTTAATGAAGAAATATTGATATCAGCAAACAACAGTGAACAATGGATAAACAGTGGCAAACTGAGAACATCCTCATTATTTTCAAGGAATAATGTACTTTTATAGTTTGTCTTCAGTTAAAAATAATGTTAATATTAATAGCGAGGAATATCACATTGCTTATGTGTGTATGAATATATATTTATAAATTAAAAATCATTATTTTTTGTATAAGTGATATGATATTATTTTAACTTAACTTTTTGTGATATATTAAAATTTAAATGATATTAATGTTAATGTTAATATTTTTTTTTTCAGACCTCATTCACTGCACAAATGAGCCCAATGTGTCAATACCGCAGTTGGCCAACCTCCTTATCGAAAGGACACAAAACACCAACTGGGTTGTCGTATTTAAAGCACTTATTACAGTACATCACCTCATGTGCTATGGAAACGAGGTATTTATTATTGCAAAATTTGAACCTTACGTATGAATTTTATTTACACAAATTATTATTATTATATATATATGGTAGTTTGAAAATTGATCTATTTTCACAATTTTGATTGTTTACTTTTTTTTTTAATATCCACACTTGTGACTTACATCATGTCAATAAGTGGATGTGATATATATATAATAAACAAAACAACAAGTGTCAGGTATGAGCAAGCACCTCCTAACATTAAAATCTGCACGATTTTACATAAGGAGATCTCTTAGCAAGCTTGTAAAATTCTATTGACTTTTTTTCCTTTTACTTTCCTTTTTATGGTTAATTTATCGTATGTTAAATTTCTGAAAGAAGCAAACAATTTAAAACTCCTTATTTTTATGGGTAATAGACGGTCAGTTTTTAAAGACTTGTATTGTAACATTTAAACCCAAGCTTGTGGGTCATCATCCGGACTGAAAAATTATATAGCTTCAGAGATTTTTTTTTATCCCAAAAATTTATCAGCCATAATGATGCCTTGGTTGAACAAGCTTGCATTGAAACATTGGCGATAAAAATTTTAAAAACTGATTGTACCCTAACCATCACCCATGAATAGTAGAACAGTTGACTAACTTTCTTCAATAATTCGTTATTTTTAATTTACTCATTTGATAAAGTTTCGAATATCTTTATCCATTTTAAAGCCTTTTCATTTTCTTTTTTAATTTTCCTTCATTCATTCATTTTCCATTTTAATACATGTTCTACAAATAAAAAATTGTCATTACAAAAAAAAAATTATTAACTTCTATAATAATATATAATTTATGTTAAAATTAGGAAATGTTTTAAAATGTGATTCATTCAAGGATTAAACATTTAATTTTATTTGATACTTGATGTGTGGAATCTTGCCATTTCTTAATTTATTAATCCCATACCAACTATACAAAATATCTATTTCATTTATAATGTAAACATAATGTTGTCTATTCTCTTAATATTGGTTATTGAAGTTCACAATGTTTGTGGTAATGTTTATGTTATTTTTGTTATCATTTCCATTTACTTTCTAATTTATATTTCATTATTAATTTTTTTAATTTTAATCCTGATGATCGATAGATGATGTCTTTCCCAGATTGCCAAATGATCCGCTGAATGTCGCAGAGGTACTTAGTGAGCGGCAAAATGAAGCTCTACGCCCTGATGATAAAGTTTGTCCGATATGCGGGCTTTCTTTTAAGGGCGAACGAGGTCTCGGAACCCACATTGCAAAAAAACATCCCAGGGAGGCGAATAATAATACATTGAGGGGCATAGTAAAGAACGTGATAGGTCCTAGAAATGGAGAGGGTGAGTCATCAAAAATAAAAGAGGACATTGTTGAATGGTCTACTACGTTCAAGAACCTTTTAAAGCAAGAAATGGTGAATACTGCGGATTTTGATGAGGCCGTAGGCAAGTTCCTAAAGTTCCTCAAAGTCATTAATGCGGAACTGCCAGGTCCCCAGCACCCAGCCGTAAAATTTTATAGGATGAGGAAAAAAAATAAAATGAAAATGGCTGACAAGGGTGCTGGACAAGTCTCAAATCCGCAGAGGGCAAACAAAGTAGACAGGAGTCGTCGGCAAGAGCAGTATCAGTACGAGGTTGCCCAATATAATTATTATAATAAAAGAAAAAAGGTTGTGCAAACTGTAATGAATGCCGACGCTCCTAAACGGTGTCCTCTAAAAATGGCCGATATCGAGAGGCATTATAAAGACCTCTTTGAGAACGAAAATCTCTGCGGGCGTGCGGATTACGAACAGTGTACCCCGATGCCGGATTTGCTGTCCATTGAGATAGAAGCCATCAGGAAAGCCATTAAATCAACATCAATGGACACATCGCCGGGGCCTGATGGAGTTCTGATCCGCACAATAAAATATTTTGAGGTATCAAGCATTATTAAAACGATTGCAGAGATAATGCTGAAGGTGGCCTATGTTCCGGAACCACTTCGACAAGGGCGCACAATATTGATATATAAGGGCAAAGGTGATATAAACAATATCTCTACCTGGAGACCGATCACCATATACTCGATTGTGCGCCGAATCATAGAGAAGGTTCTGGACTACGAGTTAAGAAAGCAGGTCACCTTCCACAAGAGTCAGAGAGGCTTTATAAAAGGCCTCCCGGGAACGCACGTCAACGCGAGGATCATCGACGCGGTATTAAAAGATGCACAAAAAATGAAAAATGACTGTGCGATAGTTTTCCTCGACGTTGTCGGTGCTTTTGACAATGTTGGGCACAAACACATCGTAAGCTCCTTAGAAGCGAGAGGTGTGTCACCGAATCTTACAAATGTCATATCAGCTCTCCTTAGCACGAACACCATAAAGATTGGCAACGGTGTCCATGCAACTAGCCAGATCAAAGTGCTGCGCGGTGTACCCCAAGGTGGCCCCCTGTCGTCTTCACTCTTCAACCTGGCCATCGATCATCTCTACCGCGACCTGTGTGACGAGGACTTTTCCAAGAAATTTGGATACAAATTAAGGAATGAGCAAGATTGTGTGGTCCTCACAGGTTTCGCGGATGACCAGGCAGTGTCGGCGCGTGACAAGGGGGCTGCAGAAAGAGTGATTGACAGCATACAAAGAACATTTAAAGAAATTGGTCTGGCTATAAATCCTCTAAAAAGTATGGGCATCGTTATAAATAAAGGAGAGCTGGAAACTACGGTGCTCTCCCTTGAGAATGGTGAGTACATCCAAACATTGAAGAATGGAGATACGATTAAGTATTTAGGATGTACATTCTCGGGAGAGCTGCAATTCAACGAAGATTCGGTGACTAAATTGAATGATAATCTAAACAAGCTGGTAACCTCTTGCTTACTTAAACCTGAGCAGAAACTCAACATTGTCAATCAATATCTGTTCCCGGGTCTTACTTACCCTCTCCAAACTGCGCCCCTAACAAAGCTACGTCCTGCTATACTGGAGGGCATCGACACTATGATTCGCAGGAGCGTAAAGGCCATTATTGGACTGCCTGCGAATACTTCCACAGCGATGTTGTATGCCCCCAGGAGATACCGAGGATTGGGATTAATCCGCTGCCAATGGGAGGCTCCTCTTCAACATTGGTCCATTGCTCAGCGACTGTCCAATGTACCAGATGCCCTTTTTCAGTCTACCTTCGATTATTCGGCTGAAATTGCTGAATGTGCCGAGAGATTGGGGGTTGATCAGGGTCATCGAAATGTGAAAGCTCTACGGCAGTCGCTACGAGAAAATGCATTTGAGGAATGGGCCAACTGCAGGTGGCAGGGTATTGGTGTTCGCCATTTTAAAGAGACCCCGAAAGCGAATAGATACATCTACGAAAAGCAAGTACTTTCTGGGTCTGAATGGTCGAATGCCCTAAAACTAAACATTAATTATGCACCCCTGCGTGGAGTCCCAGGAGTCAGCGGACAGGTCAGAGAAGTTGGGTCCCTCTGCCGTAAATGCGGCAGAGAGTCTGAAACACCAGCACATGTGCTGGGAAAATGCCCCAACAACTCCCTCCTCATAACACGTCGTCACCACCGGGTCAAGTTCGAATTGATGAGGCTCCTTAGGGAAAAAAAATTCACCTGCTTTGACGAGGTATATTGCATCGATAGTGAGGGCTCTACGAGATACGCTGATATCGTCGCATTTCCCAAGACAGGAAGGACAGCGCTGATCTTGGATCCAACTGTCCGCTTTGAGAGCAATGACCTCGATCAGGCGGGTGAAGTGGAAAGGGAAAAGAAGAACACGTACGATAAATGTATCCCTTTCCTAAAAGAGAAATTCCGTGAGACCTTCGGAGAGAGAGAGTTCACCGTGAGAGGCCTCTGGTTTGGGTCTCGCGGAACTATCCCAAAAAGAACAAGGAGCTTCCTCGAGGAACTAGGTGTCGACATTAAGGACGTAGCGAGGTTGGCTGAAAATATAGTCCTCGACTCCCTGGGAATCATTCACCACCACGTGCATGGCTAGCCCGAGAGTTTTAATTTATGTATTTGTTTATTTATTTTTTTAGTGAATAATTGAAAACAATAGCGATAAAGAGAGAGAAGTGAGAGAAAGGGAAACTTAATGTTAAATAAAAAAAAAAAAAAAAAAAAAAAAAAGCATGAACAATGAGAAGAGGGAAAAAGGAAAAAAAAAAAAAAAAAATTATAAGGATAAATAAAATAATAAAAATGTATATATATATATATTTCTGTTTTACTAATATTAACTAATACTTCTGTATATTTATATATAAGTTCATATATTGTCTTAAGGATAGAAGAGTATGCTGTGTGTATAGCAACCCAATGTAATTGGGCAGCAATCCTTTATATTTTATATTTTATGAAAATAAAGTGTTTCTCTCTTTCTCTCTTCTATGTTGATTTTACCTTGTTTTATAATTTGGCTTAACTAAAATTGATCTTGACATGGCTTACAAATAAGTTTATATATCGCCTTTTGTTTATTATTTTTTCTATTTTATCTTACATATGATTTAATTTAATTTATTTAGCAAAAATCCCATGCAATCTTCTGAAATAAAATTAATAATTATAATAATAAATTTGAAAATGGAGTTGGCTTGTTTTAGAATTTCACACCCCATAAAATGTATCATCTTCAAGCACGAATTGAACAGCTCAAAAATATTAGTTTCATGAACATCTTAATTGAACGGTTGTAAATTTGAATTATTGGTAAATTTTTCAATAAATGTGTTTTTGGACTGCAAACAGCTCATGAAAAGTGATGTATATATAGTTTGTTTTAAGTATTAATAAACAGTTTCATTAATTCAAACGTAAATGAGCTACAAGTTTTAAACTACTTTGTTCTTCAGGATTAATCACAATTACAGCTAAAGAATAAGATACCATATCTGGAGAAGAATCCTTTAAAAAAAACTTGAAATTAAATAAAAACACCTACGTTTTTTATTTTCTATAAATATAATTATACTGACCAGTTATCATTTATGAACATTTCGTTTTAGAAAAAATTAGGCTGAAAATAATGATTATTTATCATCCTCGTAATTTAAAAAAAAAACAAAAAAAAAAAACGAAACAATTCAACTGTCAAAAATATCACAAAAGCGAGCCAAAAATATCCAACTTTTAACAATTTTTCACATTATTGTATGTATTTTTTAAATTTTCACTTAAGGATTTACATTTCTTATTTGGTACAGATCTGTTTAAATATTTCATGGTATCACATGAAATTTCAAAATTGATCTTGCAAAAACTTTGTTAAAGTGTGATTAGGAGTTTGGAATATGTTATCAAAATTAGGCTATGCCAAGCATGGTAAGTACTTGGGTGGATGACTGCCTCCGAGGAAAGCTATCCTGCCTGAGGTTCCTCCTCCCTGATTATTTGCACCTACAAGGCTATTGGAGACAACTCTACACCGATCGGCTGTAAGTGTGATGATTCTACTCCATGTACTTTAATCGGAAATTGTGATGTGGTTTTCATGGATGTTAGTAGCCTCCATGAGGTTCGGTCTATGGATCGTTTGCTCCTGGGAAAGAAATATAGTTCCTCATGAGCCTGCTGATTCTGAGCAACCATACTCCATGAATTTAAACTAATTTGTAGTTCTACAACAATTGGTAATATAATTATTATATAACCAATTGTCCTTAGACCTGATTTAATCGGTAACCAGGATACTGCCAGATTGTTTTTTTTTTTAATGTTCTTCCCTACCTCGACTTATAGCATATGCGGGATTTTTCCGGACCGGAGGGTGAAGGCAGGAAATTTAAAATCACCTCCGGCACCGGGAAGCAAACTCGTTCTTTTTTTAATCTCATAACTTCGGTTATCTGGTTGCAGAGCAACTTGTGGTGCTATGCACACGCATTAGCCCATTCGGCCACCCTGTCCCCAAGGATACTGCCAGATTGCTCCCAAAGGATTCAGCTATGAAACTGGTTACCTGCAGCTGCACCCTAGAAACCATGGTTACTATCAATATGATGGGTGATCCCCCATCTATGCTCCTGCAAGCATTATAATTTAGCAAGATTGCCAGTTCATGTGGTATAAGTGGATAGTTATCAATAGCCTGTCTGTTGCAATCAGGATACTGAAACATGAAAAAAAACAACAACAAAAAAATGAATCTTATCATTGTATACAATTTTTAATAATTCACATATGATTTTCTATCTTGTTTCAGAGGTTTACACAATACCTCGCTTCGAGTAACAGCACATTTCAACTTAGTAATTTCTTGGACAAGAGCGGAGTTCAAGGTGATTTAATTTTAATTCATTTTTTGACTATTGCCATTTATATTTTTTGTTTCTTTTGTTTTAATTAACAAGTTATTTGTAGAAGTGTAAATAACCTTTTTGGGTTGATTATTTATTTGTTTAATTAATTCAATATTTTATTATGATTTTTCATTAATAAAAATAATAATGGTGTTTTAATTGTAATTAATAATTGATTTTTTTTTGGTTTTCAATGTATTCCCTGGGACTCATAGGAGCTAGAGTTGGTAAGTTTAACTAAGAGAGAAGTATTATTATTGCTTTGGTGAGGTTTTATCATTGCCTTTCTTGTCATACTGAGCTTGATATGTCATAAATTTGTAGCCATTTTTCGATATTCATCTGGTGTAAAATACATTTCTTTTATATTTATCAGTTTTATTAATAGCATGCTTTTACATACAGATAGTTTGTTTGTGATTTCTATCTCTTTTTATTTGTTCAGAGTTGTAAATTTTTTTTTATTTGTTGACATCTTGAAGTGTTATCTGTCTAACTAAATTTTTCATGTTGTGTGATCACATTTTGTTAATAGTCCATTGTGGTTGTATGTCTGTCTTTTATAATGACATTTAATTTCATTGTATATTTTTGTTTTTTATGTATTGTAATTGGCTACTCCTTGCTAGGCTGTATTTTTTTTTTTTTTTAATTATTCTCATAGAAACTTTCTAGGAGAATCCTCTGAAGTTCAGATAAGAAGGAGCATTGTTGTTAACTCCCTGTTCAGGAATCAAAATTTAATAATTTTAATTAGTATTTTGGGTTTAAAAGAAGAAGATATTTTTGATGAAATAAACCATTCTGATTTGGAATAATCATATAATAATCATTATTATAAAATTCAATTTGTCAATGCTTTTGTATGATATTAAAATAATTAGCAGTATACCTCAGTAACAGCTCTCACATTAGATTGATATTCTTTTCTCTAATGCATTCAACAGATGGTAAGCGACATCAGGGAAACATGTTTATTTGTATAAACAATATAATGTTATCGAGATATTCTATTCAGCACACATAATCAGCGAAGCTTCATAGATTACCAAAATTGTTAAAGTAACAATTTATTTAATAAGTGATTTGCTTGTTTCCTGAAAAATATCCCTCCAGTTTTATAGTAACGCAATAAGACGGAGGTTTCCCTCAACGTATGCTAATCCATTATTGTACTTGCCCAAAATATATTTGTTTGCTGTAGAAGAGTCTTGGTTTGTAATTATCTCACATAGTATGATTATAAAATAGAGATCTATTATTGAGGATATAGAAGCCATTCCTGAATATTTTTTTATAATCTTTCTAGTAGGTCTGCCTTTATTTGTAACAGCAGTAAGCATGCGGCAGTGATTAATGGGTTTTTCTGTTCTTTAAATTCTAAATTCACGATTTTGTACATTAATATGTATTTATGCAATTTATAATAGTATTTATTTATATTAAATTATTGTAACTTATCCTTTTATGCTGTTTTTAACTCAATTTTATGATAGGAAAACAAGCATTTTTATTTTTTGTAATTCGATATCAAGGGTGCCCATCCCCTCCCCTCCCCAAGATCAGTGGCGCAGGAATACCTCCTCCTCCCTCCCAAGATATTTTATTGCTTTATTCTTCTTAACAACATTGCAAGCTAAATTAGAATTTTAAAAAATCTGAAATAATATTCAATTATATTTACAGAGGTCTGTTACATGTTTCTTTCTTGTTTCCTTCCTTTGAAACTTGTCATTCCAAAAATTCATAACTTTATCAAAATGTGCCCCCACTCCAAAATACAAAACCCCGTTAAAATGTGGTCCCCCTCAAAAATTTTGATGGCACAACTTGTACCATGAAACCCCCTTCTGAGCACCCCTGCAAATCTTTTGATATAACCAATCTTTTATTCGGATTAACTAACTTTTAGGTTCTATGCTGTTGTTAAGTACACAATTTAATTGAGACTGCTTTGATCATCTCAAAACTTACTGTAGGAAAAAGTAACTAACCCACCATTTTGAAATTTCCTCGGATGATTTGCATTTACCTTGTAGGTCTCAAATGAGAATAACAGGTGATATTGCAATATTCTCTAATAAGGTTCTTACAGAAAGATTTTTCATCAGTACCAAATAGTCAACTGTGCCACGGTCTCCTGTTACAAAAATTAGTATGTTCATTTTTTAGCTTTCAGATTTTCAAAACGATCTGATTGTCTTCTTTCGAATCATTCACTTGTTCCTTTATTTCAAAACATGTCATAACTATAATAATTCATTATTAATTTTTTTATTAATTATTCTCAAAGCTTAAAAGAATGATATAAAGGATCATTTTCAGTGACATATGAAACTTTAATCTTGTAGAGGAATAATTGAATCATTTGAAAGAATTATACCTACTATTAGGGTTGCCGAATTCTGAGGTAAGTCCAAAATCATGGTGTATTTCTAGTAGTTTCTTTGCTGTGTTGGAATTTTCAATGATCTGAATGTTGTGTTTTTACTGTTGTATTTAAAAAAAAAGAAAAGTTATTTATTTAGCTTTTGATAAACTGTTGCGAAAGATTGAGAAAACATTCTGCTTTGTGGCTTCTGATACTTCTACTAAACTAGAGGTTATTCAATTTTGGAAACACAAAGTTTATGAATAGTGATGTTCCACGGTATTTTGGTACAGAATCAATTTTGCTCACATTAATCCCCATTGCTTCCTTTCCTTTCTTATATGTAAAACCAAATTTAAGAATACCACCAATATACTAGGCTGTTGGAAAAAATAAAGGAAATTAATCAGTCATCATTTTTTTTTTTAACTATGAAAATATTCAGAAATTCATATATTTTTCGAAATTAGTATTTTATTTTATTAATCATATGCTGGCCTTACTAGCCCATTTTTATAAAATTATGTGTAATCGAATCATGTAAGAGTGATTGGTTGGTGTTTCGCTATATTTGAAAGATCATTGTTATGTTGTATCATATTATCAATGAAAATAGTAAGTGTAAATATACTTGATATTAATTACATATAAAATATGTACATAACTACTTGAGCACTAATGTATTATACACATTTAATATCCTATTTGTCTAAACCTAAAAAGCAGCTTGCTTTGCTTTTTTTGCTCTAAAAATCATATGTCTCTTGAATTTATTTTAGGTATGTCACTTGTCTTGCTTTTCTTTTACCTATTTTTATTTTTTATTAATATGTATGTGGTAATATTTGTTTGCTTTTGAATGCCCTACTAGTATTTCTAAATTATCATACACCATTTATTAAAATTGTCTATCTTATTTTCAGGATATGATATGTCTCCCTTTATTAGGAGGTATGCCAAATACCTGAATGAGAAAGCCATGTCCTACAGGACTGTTGCATTTGACTTCTGCAAAGTCAAGCGTGGGTATGTGAAACGTAATTAAGTATTTTCATTTGATTATCTTGCATTGTTTTGTTGGATATGTTCATTTTTTTATTCTATCTCCTCTTTCTATGAAACTGTTTGTTATTTAAAATAAATTTGCTTTTGAATAGTTTATTAAATTGAGGATAATATAACAAAAATTACCTTCATTATTTGACTTCTAAGTCTTAATCATTTATTTATATGTCATCTGTGCATTGGAAAAAGTCATGAAGTGACACTTAATAAGCTTAAATCACTTGGAATTTTAATGAACAAAAACCATGTCTGCCTGAAAACTACATTAGTAAAAATTAAACAATATATAAAAAATATCTTCTATGACAATGTATAAACAAAAGAAACAGAAATCAGGAAAAATAAAAAACAGAACGTTATAAACATAACGAGTTGATTCTTAAAACTAAAACTTAAACAACCATTCGCTTCATTTGAAATTTGATTCATAGAGTTTATTTCAATATTTCATTCAGAGCATCATTTTGGGATGTGAAAAGGAATTGGTAAAGAAGGTATTTGAATAGGTATGGTAGATTTCAGATGGCAAAGTATTCCAGAAGACATTGGATCAGACAATAAAGGAATGTTCAAATGTTTTGTTCTATATGAGGTTTATAAAGGTCAGAAACATGGGATCTTGTTTTCTGGGAGTGGACTACGGGTTCGAACTGTAGGAGACTGTAGATGTAGGAAGGATGCTAGGAGTTGATCGTTCGGAATAGGTAAGATTCAAGGAAATATTGTCGGCAGAAAGAAGAGAAGAGCCACTTGGACTTGTCGTAAATGTGGAACACATGAAACCGTCTCAGGAGTTCATGAGTTGTTTCAATCTGTCCTCGAGTACTATCATGATAGCACTGTACACAACACAGACATAGTCAAAGTAGGGGAAAACAAGGGAGGATACAAGGAGCTTGCGGATAGCTTGTAGAAGTAGATGATGGAAGCGATGGAACAACTTAAGGCGTACCATCCACCAAAGGCGAAGTAAAGCGAAGCGAAGAATTAAAGGTTTTTATTTTAGTTGTTTGGCAATAATAACTTCCAATTGGTAACAATTGAGTGTATTTTTATTATCAACATTACATGTTAACACTTAGTTGACGTTTCGGGATATCTATTCCCATCTTCGGAACTGCAATCCAATACTCTTGTGGATGCAAGGCTGAAATTTAATAATAATAATGTGCTCCATCGTCAAATTTCTAATTCATGTTCTAAAATTTATCATCTAGAGCAACATCCTCCTTTTTCTTAGATGATAAATCTTAGAATATGAATTAGAAATTTGACGATGGAGCACATTATTATTATTAAATTTAAGCCTTGCATCCACAAGAGTATTGGGATTGCAGTTCCGAAGATGGGAATAGATATCCCGAAACGTCAACTAAGTGTTAACATGTAACGTTGATAATAAAAATACACTCACTTGTTATCAATTGGAAGTTATTATTGCCAAACAACTAAAATAAATAGACAACTTCCCAGAAAAAAAGAAAAAAGAATGAAGGTTTTTAATGAAAGGGCGAGCATCAGATGCTGCTGAGTTCATTTAAGTAGTGTACAAGGATAAACTCCATTGCACTTTGAGTCAACCTAGGTTCGGTTTTTTGGAGCTATGCTCTGCTTCCCCCATCACTGCCACTGCCACACAGCCATGTGGCTTTATTCCTCGGTGTCATCTTTTCTTTCTGCCTGTTCTCACAGCACAACTTCTCAAATTACTTTATTTTGGTTCAGTGTAAAATGTGCAATTGATGTGAAAGAATTCTTTATCAAGTGTGTGAGGAAAAATATTTGATTTTATATACAAATATTCAATTTTTCTCTTCAACTTTGACATGACCAACTTTGCTATTTTTGCAAATATTTTATTGTACCGGGAAGGATACCGATGCAAGGCAAGTTGCTGACTGAGCTGGGATCCACTATGCAATCAGTTGCCGACCACCTCTGACTCCGCTCAGCTCAGCTCAACTCCACTTTCGGTGGCCAGTCAGCTTAAGGATTCCTATTGACCTTCAGGAGATGAGGGCGTTATAGAATTTCCAGGAGAGGTTTTTGTCAATAGTGATTCCTAATTTTTTTATGCTGGAGCTGAATGTGATCGTTGATGATTGAAAGAGGAAAGTAGGAGTTGGATTTAAGGAAAGAACTGGAATCTATGGTCTAAGTTATATAAAAGGGTTTGTTATTTGTATCATTTTAGTGCCCTTACTGTTTTATTTTTTATCAATAAATTAGGTTTAAATTCACAAAATCTTTTTTTTTCAAAAAAGTTCAGCTCCATCAAAAATGTACTCGGTAACTTTTTGCAATAACCTGACAATATGCTATATAGCTGATACAAATCAGAATTATGAGATGAAGAATGTTTGACTATCTATTTTGACAACCAAGCATTGCTAAATTAAAGGATTATGTATGGATTTATATTATATTATGTATGTATGAAGAGCTAACTAACGAATGAGGGCTTAATGAGAGAAGAATTGAAAAAGTGAAGAAGGAATTCATGATACATGGGTTAGCAATTGTTCTTCGAAATTAATATGTTAGGATTTAAGGTTATAACATCCAAATATTGAATGTTTTAATAAAGTTAAATAAGCTCATTTGAATGAATAATTTGAAAGTTGTTGTATAATTTTACAATCCTGTCTCTCACTTACCAACTGATTTGTTTAGCAGCAACGTCATCTAAATGGAACTCAGTGGTAGAATGACAAGTACCCGAAGGAAAATGTATGATTTATTTATTAAAAGGACTATTAGGAAGTAGCAAATGCTGTTGCCCATTCTAAATATGCATGAGGGTGGATAGTGACCAGGTGGTGTGGTATCCTCTTATCCCTTTCTGAATTAGAGGAGATGAGAGGTTGTCTAGGAAAATATTTCTAGGTTTTATTAACTGTTATAATCTGATTTAAATATGTATATATATATATATATATATATTATATATATATATATATATATATATATATATATATATATATTATATATATATATATATATATATTATTGATATGAATTTGAATACCTTGTTTTTCAAAATCAACTTTAATTTAAAATTGAATGAAATATGTAATGGATTCCAGGTCAATTTTAGTGATATTTATAAATAATAATATGACATGGTAGTAGCTTAATAAAGATGTAATCCAATATTTGGTCTTGTGGCTGTATTTTGTTTTTTGAATATAACATATTTTAAGTCCATAGTGTGTCGGTTATAGGTCAGGCCACAATTTCATTAAGCTGTTTTATTTTATTTTTGTTGATGTTTAGATCCTATTCAAGGAGTTGTTCTACATATAGATAGGATTGTAGTTGTGGTAATTATTCATCTCTTAATCATTGCTTCTTAGCACTGATGATGGTGCACCATAATTCACTACTTATGCAGTAAAAATAAATAAGTAAAACAAACTATAATTTCTATATTCTCTTTTCAATCTATTATGAACATTTCTTGTGTTCATTGTTATTAAACCTATATACAATGTATTAGTTAATTAGTCCTGAAGTTCTAATAATATTTAACTTAATTAAATTTAAATATTAATTGTTTTTGTGTTGTGTGTTGCTACAGTAAGGAGGATGGTGTCTTAAGGACAATGAATGCAGAAAAATTATTGAAGACACTGCCAGTTCTTCAATCCCAACTAGATGAATTGTTGGAATTTGATTGCTCTGCTGCAGACCTGAGCAATGGAGTTATTAACATGGCTTTTATGCTCTTATTCAGGGATCTTATTAGGCTATTTGCTGGCTACAATGATAGTATTATAAATCTTCTAGGTAAGGCTTTTCTTGAAATAAATTGGCTATGAACAAGTGGCTCAGTAAATTTTTTCCATTTTTTAGGAGAACAAATTCAAAGTTCGATCACTTCAAAGTGATAGTAAATTTGCATTACTAAATTCACTATGTTCTTTTCTAGCATTGGCATTTTATATGCTGTAATGTCAATTATTACAGATACGTTATGGACTGCAATATTAAATGTATTAATTTAGTAATTTAAAATTCCCTCCGGCACCAGGATGTGAACTCGTACTTATGTAATCTTCTCAAATCTCTTATCCGGTTGCCAGGCAACTCGCAGTGTAGTGCACACGCTTTAGCCCATTCGGCCACCCTGCCCCCTATATTACTTTAGTTAAAATTTTTAAATTTGAAGTATTCATCTACTATTTTATTCCCATCAGATGTCTATATATTTTGATGGCATTCTTTAGTGTTCCAACTAGGTTTAGAAGCATGTTAGTACCTATCTATTCAATTCTGAGAGAAAAGTCAACATTTATTCTGTCTGTTATAAACTAAAAATTACATAATAGTGAAATTTCGCAATTGCGGCTCTTCCCTATTGTGAGCTTTTCTTTAAAGCAGACAAATTTACAATCCCCATCATATATCAGTAATTTTACAGTATAAATTACTTCTTTATAACAAACTCGTACAGCCCTGATTTTGATTGAAAATTTTCTCCAAAACGGATTCCCGGAAATCACTCAGACTCATATTCTATGAAGATTTATCCAATTTATAGTAGCTTAATTCAATTTTGTATGTTGAGAATTTGATTTTAAAATGGGTTTCTCTTCTAATCTTTGTGTCTACAAATTATGTCTACAAATTAGTTGATCAGTCATTACCTTATGAAAATTTATGGTATTAATTTAAATGCATTTGGAAAAAAAAAAAAATTATATTCGTAATTTATCCAATTGATTCAAAATTGTAAAAACATAGCCGTATGACATTTTAAAGAAAAAGAAATGGAAAAAAAAAATCCTAAAACTTCAGGCTTTTGTTTTTTTTATAGATTGATTCTAATACAAATTAAGGAACATATGAATAGTTTTGCTGAGTTTGTATCTTAATACTTCAGTACTTGTGCTACTATTTCAAACAATGATACTTATGAATATTTAATAGTTGACCGTTGCATTATAAAGGAAGGAGATGGTCCGGGGTTGCGGTCATAAAAAGGCTAAATAGTGGTAAAACTATTTTATTGAAAGCCGCTTTCGGCTTTCGGCTTTCAATAAAATAGTTTTACCACTATTTAGCCTTTTTATGACCGCAACCCCGGACCATCTCCTTCCTTTAATAATACTTATGCTGTACCTGTGAGGTGACAATTCAGATTTTTGGTTTCCAAGACTTTCGAGCAATCTAAAAGTTTGCCTAGAAAGTATTAAAGGATTACATAACAGTTTACTAAATATTGATGATAGATTATTTTAATATAAAAAAATTAATATAATATATGTTATATATTGTACATCAATATAAATATACTTAATAATTCGAAATCGAAGACCCGCCAGGAAACAGACCTCAATTGCAAATTAATAAGCTGTAATTTACTAACATAAATGTTGTTTAAATGAAAAATGAATGAAAAACGATTTCGCTTATGTCTCGAAAATTCATTTTTTTTTTTTTTTTTTATATCACTTAATATTCATTTTTCATCAAGTTTTATTTACAATTTCTCTAAAACAGACATCTCTTAATGGGGAACAAATTTTGGTTCCTCTTATGTGTTTGCTACTGAGAAGGCCTACTGTATTCTTTTTAAAACAGTGTGCCTCAAGATTATTTCAATTTTAATTTAATTTTTAATATTTTCAATATTTCATAATTTATAATCCATGTTGTTTGATTTATGCTTGAGTGATGCTGATATTGTTTTATTTTGGTTTTTAGAAAAGTTTTTCGAAATGAATAAGAAGCAGTGTCGACAAGCATTAGACTTGTATAAGAAATTTCTCATTAGAATGGACAGGGTTGGTGAATTCTTAAAAGTTGCAGAGAATGTCGGCATTGACAAAGGAGAGATTCCAGATTTAACTAAGGTACCATTATTAACCTAAATTGATTTATTTAATTTTATAAACGGGTGGAAAAATATTTTATTACACTTGTTTCAATGTCTTTTCCTTTTCTGGATTAATATTGACTATATATGAAATATTTAATATTGCTCTTGTGAAAATTTTCTAATCCAAGTTTCCAATAGAAATACACATTTTAAGGTCTCGTGAGTCTTAATTACGAAGTTTCTCAAAATGGTTCGTGTCTGTGTATATGAACCGCATAGCTCAAAAACAAAGAGGCATATCATATTAGAATTATGTATTTAAGGTGGTATATGTTTGGGATATTATATCTTTTTCATTAAAATCAAATTGTTGAAAGTGCCAATAGATTTTAATAGATAATAGATTTTACACCTATTATACAATGTTCTTTTCAGAAATAACTACAATTTTGAATAAACTCGTTGCATCAGGATAAATTAAAATGGTCTTTAATAGGTCATTTCCTCATTGAAATATTTTTACTGGGCCTAAATGCCGAATTTTCAAAATTTCTTCCTCAAAACTGCTTTTAATTTTGGTTATATAAGGTCGCTAATAATGTCTACTTTTATTATCATTGTTCATTATTGAATGGGAAGTAAATATTTCTTGGGAACTAAATAGAATTTTCATGTTAAACACATAATCCCCATATATATTATTACAGTAAGGCTCAAACTCGGTTTCGTACCAAATATAAACTCCTGCCATGCTCAAATACCATGAATGAGATACTGTTAGATTCAGAATTTCATGGGGGATTAGCGAATCGTATTCTCCATTTTTGTTTTTCTTTCTAAAATAAATAAAGTCTATACACACATTTTGCTTGGCTTCAATACTGGAACCGGAGGTAAGTCTGTAGATCGATACGGAACAAATTGTTAATTCTTCACCAAATCCCAAGATTGAGCCACCAATTTCGAAGGCTCTCTTTCTCCTTCAGGCGGGCAAAATAGTCCAATCACCCTGAAAATTCAGGCAAACAAATTTATGAAAGAAAAGAAACTTTATTTGCGAATAACTAAAAAATTAAACACTTTTCCCTTGGTTATTTCCATGATTATAGAAAACATTACTAAATTGTCTACAAAAGGAAAAAAAAAAATCATTGAAATCGGACAATTTTTTGCAATGATACAGCTTATTGAAATTTGTATATATGTTGATAAAATAACAAATTGATTTCTTTACCTTATGATACGATGCGTTATTTTCTTTTCTTATTAATTTGGCATTTGATCACTTAACAATATGCTATGCGAATTTTTTGCACGGGCCTACTAGTGTTAAAAAAAATATTTTTAACATTACAAAACAAAATATAGTATACAGAATTGTCATTCTTTATAATACGTGTTGCAAGTTTGTTTTTTATAATCAAAGTAATATTCCTATGTTTTGTGACATTTTAAAACAAAATCTTTTCTACTGAAATTAGGATGCTAAGTGAAAATTCTATGATGCACTGTACCATATATTTGTTTTTAATTCCATATAGTATTGTAATATAATTTAGTTTTAAAATAATAATTTTCTAGGCTCCAAGCAGCCTTCTTGATGCTCTTGAACAACATCTTGCTGCCTTAGAGGGAAAGAAAGGCTCTGCTGCAAATACTCCGACTCAATCAGCTAGGTGAGTTTTTATGTCACTGGCCAATATTTATGAACTAGCTTTAATTAAATAAATAAATTAAGTATAGCATTTGTATATTATTATTTTTTTTTCTGATGAGTAAATAAAAAGTCAGTTTTACAAGTAAAACTAATAAAGAAAGTTGTTAAACATTAAAATATGTACCTTTTTTTTTTCTTTTAATGTATAATTTTTACTAAAAATGATTTGGGCATTTTTAGTTTCTGCTGTACTTAAAAGTAGACCCCAGGTAAGATAAGTTTGCGGGTGGGTAGAGGGAGAGAGAGAGAGATGCTCAGTGGAAAAACATTTTTTCCCACCAATCCTCCACTATTTAGTCTTCTCTACTCATTCGTAGGTACTTCTAAAAGTTATTTTACTAGTTGAAATTTTTTTTTTTCATTTCTTTTATCAATTTTCGTTTATTATGTCAAGTAAACTTGATAGAGGAAAAACTACCCACTCTCAGTAAAACATGTAATTTTGAACATATATAAATTCATGAAAACAGAGGCTGTTAGTATTTTTTTTCTTAATTTCTTAATATTTATTTAACCATCCTAGCCACTGTTATATTGTATTTATGAATTAAAATCCCTATCTGGAAGTGGAGCTGGAGAGAAGCCCTGGGTTGATCAAACTTGAGTAGGGAAAAGCTGCATGAGCTCTCTTACTCTACTAGCAAACTTATCTTTGATGCACTTTAAAAGATGACTCCTTCCTTAAGGAGTGGTGAAATTGATCAAAAGTACCATTTACATTTTAAATAAATATAAATAATATTATAAATAGTATTTACGAACTAAGGCTAAAATTAAAAGATTATATTTCCTAATTTTAAAATAAATTGTTAAATACATTTTGTTGAAATTACATATAATGCTACGATTTTTCTTAGCATTACCTCTTGCTATTTTCATATCACATGAATGCATTTGTGACTATGTTAATTGCTTTGTGCAGAAGCTTTGAGATAATTTTATTATTGTTGATTAGATTCAAGTTGTAATTATTTAAAGCTTTAGATTTAAAAAGATATTATTCTCTGTTTTATCAATTTTATTATTTATATTCATTTCCCTTCCTAAAGATTCGTTAAAACACTGATACATAGAATTCATGATGTTTTGAAGATTGTGCCAAGGTGGGAGTGTAGCTTAACTTATTCCATTGGTTTTTAACGTCACAAATCAAAGAATATTTCACCACATTGGACTTGGTAAAGCACAAAATTTCATTCAAGTTCAATAAAGATATTTATAATTTAATAATGTGTAGTTGAATAATGGTGGCAAGGGTGGTGTTTCATCATAGTAATTAAATTTGCAGCTAAACAATCATGCACAACTATCTATGTTTGTGCATGGGAATTGTCGTGAGGAGTGTCCACTGCTTTCCTCAGTAAAATAGATTAAACCTGAGCCACATAAGCTTTAAGAACGTCAATTTAGAAGTTTTCATTATAAGTTTCCCCTAGTGGGAATTTCATTATAAATTACCCCAAAGAATAATAATAAAAAAAAGTTATACAAACTTTCAGGACAGATCATGTATTTAAAATGTCAGTATAATCTGTTTTAGTCATTTTACCTTCAATTTCATGTTACTTGATTGCTATAGAAATCTTGGAAACTCATTCAGTTTTTACCTCAACCAACTTTATGACAAAATTTCTTCTACTTTTAAGAAGAATAACAAAATTAAAAATAAGGATAATATTAATGTTCAAATATGATAAATTTAAAAGAAGTATAATCACTAAATTTGGTTGCTACCAAGTTTTATCTCTCTTGCTCCTTTAATCTAAGGTTAGCTTATTTCAAGTAAATAAACAAAGTAAATTAACTTGTAAACGGAATACTTTAAAGGAAACTGAGTATTGGTGTAAATCGTATAAATCCCAGCTGATTGATCTGTGCTACTATTTTCTTTTTCTTTTATTGTTTACTGATATAACTAAACCTATTCTAGTCAGAGTGGGAAAGTTGAGATTAATTCTGTTGGTTCGCCACTCATAACTGTATAAGTATAATAAATTTAAACTGCCCAGACCAAATTTGAACCAGTGCTTCTAGATTAGAGGTTTAACATGCTTGGGCACTAGAGCTTCAAAACCTCTGATTATAACCATCCCAACCTCCTCAGTCAGAAGAGCAATACAGCCGTGGCTTTTTTTTTATGGGTATTGAACCATGACCCTTCGTCCCCTTGATATGAAAAGGACAGCATAGACGAAGTCAGCCATTGCTTTGAACTACTATTTTGCATTAGTAAGTTCTCTGTATGACCATGAAGCTGATAGTATTTCATTCCTGCTCTCAAAAAAATTGAGTGAGAAGTAGAGCATGGTTTCTGCCTTACTCCCGCCAAATGTATTTTTAGTGATTCCTCCTTACCCCAGTCTTAATGGCATCTATTTAACTCGATACAATATTATTTTATCTATGTAGTAAGATCTTAAAGAAAGTAATTAAATAAAGAAATTTAACCAATTCGAACTGTTTTTCTGGGTAAATAAAATTACTAGAAATTATTTTTAAAAATAAGTTAATTATATTACTAAGATTTGTGTACTTCCTAACTCTTATTTCGATAAACATTCAGTTGAATCATTTACAGGTTTGAATATTTTCAATTTTATAATCTTATGACGTGCATCTTTGTCTCTCTTATTCCTATTCATAGCAAATGCTTTAAATCTTTTATTGATGGATCAATCACCAACAACTTGAATTTAAGCAACAAATCAAATTATTTTTGTTTATTTATATATTTTTCAGTATTTATCATTTCTTGTCAATTTTTCTTTTTCTTGTTTCATCATTTTCCTTTTTAGTATCATCAATTCCAAAGTCTCTGAAAGGTATCAATCGAAATACTAATAAAAAGCATATATTTTGTTAAACTTATCAGTTAATTTATTTTCATTAACAGATTATTTTCTAATTTTTTTGGATTAGCCCAGAGCCAGATCAGCCTCCCGCTAATCCTTTCCTCCCCTCAAGTTCTTTTCCTTTTAACAATATTCTCACAGAAAGGTAATATCTTATTTCAGTTTTGTTTGTATCAAATCTTTATCTAGAAATTATTGATTATAACTATTTCGTTTTGTATTTTTTACAGCCAGAGGACAGATGTGAAGAGCGGTGTATCAGCGTTATGTTCTACTAGCAGTGCGTTTGGCACAGCCGCGGCAGCGCATGGGGTGGAAGGAGGAGATGATGCTCTCAGGCAGCAAGCTCTAGCTGAGGAAGAAGCTGCTATTAACCACTACAAAGTAATTTATTTTATTTTTAAAATCAACTTATCAGCATTAGTCATTTCCTCCTTGTGTCCCAAACTATTTGTAGCAGTGTTACACCTGTTTATTCTTAACCTTGCATAATTAGGGAAAATCTCTTGATAAAAATAAAACCTTAAATTGGGCTCAAATTAATCTTAGCAGTGTAAATTTTCACTACTTTGTAAGGACATAAAATCAATTAATCCACCCAAAATAATTTACCTTTTCCTAGCATTTTCAATATTACGACATTAACATTAACAGTTCAACATAACCACCCCTAACATTATCTAGCTGCAAATCAGTAAACACACTTTTTTAACCACTTGCCATATTTAAAGAGAGAGTAGGTTTCTTCTCATTCTTAGAATAATATTTTTGAAAAAATTAGAAATTGTTTAAATGATTAAAGAACATCCTACAAAGAATAACTGTTCAGTTTTAAGTGTATTATACCTTTTTTTTTGTACAGTCAAAGGTGCAATCCCCAACAAACTCCGGAGCTGCAACTGCTACTAATCCGTTCCTGGTTGGATCTCCTACACAGCCAATTGTTGATCTCTTTGGGGCTCCTGTTCCTGCTGCTGAGCCACAGGTCTAATATTGTATTATTATATGACATCAATTTTATTATCAATTTTTCTAATGCTCACATATTCTCTGTATTGATCATATCATTGGTTTATTACCATGGTACTAAGTTTATTTTCTATACAGCTATATTTTTGTGTTTACACATTATTTTTCAAATAAATAACCATCACTAGAATCCTTTCATATATCAAAATTACTTACACTTATGATCAATTGTATATTAGGTTCAGCAAACAGGTAAAGCCTCCGATGACTTATTGCAACTTGGCAACCCTTTTGCTGACATATTCGGCGCGCCAGCACAGCAAGTACCTCTTGGATCTGCACCGCCACCAGTCCAACCGGCTGTTCAAAACAATATGTGGATGTCCAATGGTAAGATTAACTTAAGCAGTGACAGTTGATGTGTTGAAAACAATTTTTATATTGTTATTATTTTAAATTATAATTCTTACCAGATGCAGGATTTGGAAAATAAGATTAAATTCTGACAAATGCCAATACACAACATTCACATTAGGACACGAAACTTGCCCTCCCGTATATTTCAACAACATATCATTACCGCAAATAGACAAGGTCAACTACCTAGCACTGAGGTCTGACAGAAGACTGACTTGGGGCCCACACATTAAAAAAATACATACAATTTTAAATCAAAGAAGTAAACTGTTATGCTTATTACTTAGACCACAATCAAAATTAAAACTAAGACAGAAACTTTCTGCCTACACTTACTTACTAAAACTGGTTTGCTGTTATGCTACTCAAATTTTCGGTTAAAAGACACTCATACAAACATTTCAATCCAAAGTGTTTAGACTTATTGCACAAGCACCTCGATACGTTTCAACCATGGTTTTACACACTGACCTGTAGTAAGAATGGCTACTACTAACATGCCTGACAACATCATGAGGAGGCTGAAAAGGTCGTGGATGAGAGTAAATTCAATTTTTAGTCTGAAATAATGCCATGGAAGAGATACCGCTGGATATTTTTTTCTTCCTCATGCCTGACATGTCATTATTATTTTGTTACTTATATTGCCAGACAATCCACTGATTGTAAGTTATGTATTAAACAGGTGTGGATGTAAAAATAAAGATTTTGGATGATCCTTAGAATGTGAGGTTACCAAATATGTCTTTCGATAGATTGTAACACCAATGTAGCTCAAACAATTAAACATATCTCCGGGAAAAAGCATGCAAAATATACAGTGTTTCCACTTACAGAATAATTCTTTAATTTAATTTTGAAGGATTAATTCAATTATCCTTCAAATTAGCAACTGCAAATGTTTGGATTTTAGTCGAAGCGTATGCAATACCCATTTTTATATATTATTTTTCGAAGTTTCTTTTTTTTTTTTTGTGTGTCTACATTCATCAAAGCCAATGATTACACTATCATAAGGTTTAATAATTTTCCACAGTAAACTTATTGTGCTTAGAACCAGTATTAGAAACTAGTTCGCTAAGCATTGGTAGCCAGAGTTCTACATCATACACTGCCAAACTTTCTGTTAATTCAAGTGTTATTGGAACCTATGGGATACTTAACTAAATTGTGTATTGGTTACCTCACTTGAGAAAGGGAGAGGGGAAAAATAAAAATAAATCAATGGTAGTTATACTAAATTTTATGTAAATTCTATCAAATATTGTTTACTCAGTAAAAGCTCCATCAGAGGTAATAATTTTGCAAGATTATTGAAGTTATTCAGTTTGAGAAAACAATTGAAGGGATTTCAACTGCCTTTTTTTTTTAAATTTTATTTAATTAGTTTTGGATGCTGTATTTAATTCCAAACAATTTAGATAAGGATTACCTACGTTTGTTTTTCAGGTTTTGGGGCAATGAACAACATAAATAACTCCGCAGCTCCACCATCTAGTGCTTTTGTAAGTGACAACGCTTTTAACTCTGTCTTTGGTTCTGCTGACCAACCAGCTGCAACAGCACCAGGTGAGCCTTCTATTATGAATTATTTGTGCACCATGTAATTTTCGTGGATGGTTTTTTCATTTTATTTTTTGGTATTAGGATAATACATTCATTTTTATTGTTTGTTGCCTGCTTTTTTGTTTTTAATATTGTATTAAAATAGTTATTATTTAAAATTCCCTCAAAGTAAGTTTTTAAGTTTAATTATTAATATTTTTTTTTTTTTTGAAATATCAAATTATAATTACTTAATTTTCATTTGTACGAGTCAATTTTGAAAATTTAGTGCACTTGAGAATTAGTTTGGTGATTCAGGCATGAACTTGTTTATCTCTCCACAAGCAGGTCTGTAACTTTTGCTTTTTGTTATAATTTTTTTTTTAGAATATTCTCTGTTGTAAATTTTTTTTTAGTAAATATAAATTCATTCCTAATATGTTTGCCTATTACCTTCTTTCTGCTGTATCACTGTTTAGTTTATTTAATTTTCACATCTTTCGTCTCCATCCTTATGATTAAATATATATATTAACACGTTTTTTGTTGTCAATTTTTAATAAACTTTTGTAGGAATATATTCTGTTAGAAATTTAGAAATTTTACTGATCACATTGTACAACATTTTTGATTTGGGTTTACTAAACCCTATACCTTTTATTATTAGGTTTCCTTAAACATTTTTAGTTTAATTATTGATGGTTTAATTTCAAATTAATTGTTATTTAAAAAAGCATTGTGTCATGGTTTAGCCAAAGATTTGATTGTTTATCTTAGGGTGACATTTTTCTCTAGTTATTGATCAATCATCAATCAAGGCTATCATTTTTATATCCACTTTTACTTTTCTATAATCTTGGTATTAATCATTTTCTTATTTTATTCAATAAATTCTGTGTTTGGTTCTGAGATCCATAACTTCAGATCCATTTGATTGATTTCATCACTTTACTTATACCTTTAAATCACTGAATCAAACTTATTAAGATGTACTAAATACTATTATTACTTTTCAATAATGATGATAATCTTCTTTTTTTTTCATGCGATAATTTGTCTAATTAATAATATAAAGAGAATTAAGTAATTATTATTCCACAAGGCTTAAATAATATAGACCTGTTGTTGAGCAATTGTTTTCAATGATCTATAATAGTAATTGTGTCACTAGCTTGGTTTGACAAGGTTCTAGACGGTTTAACCTAAACTTTGAGAAAAACGAGTTTGAAAATTTAAACTGCTATAACTTTTTTCTTTTATTGTAGAGCTTATCAGATTTTTCTTTATTACATTATTAACTTCAACATAAATTAACTTTGGAAGTTGGTTTAATGATAAAAAACCCACCCTACCTCTGAGTTTTATATTGAATTAGTCGACATGCAGTTAGAACCTTGTCATAGACAAAATGAGAGTAACAAAGATGTAAGTGACGATAGAACCTTGTCAAACCAAAAAATATATTTCATTTCAATATCAGATAAAATTGTTACTGAATCATTAAAAATTAAAAAAAAAAATTTCCATACATACTTAAATATGTAAATTTATGGATATCTGGCTTAAGATTTCCTAATTACTTACTATTAAAACATTTTGGCTTTCACCATAGAGTTTTAGTAGGTCAGTGAGTTTCAAATTTTGGAGAAAAAAATATATATTCTTTTTTAATCTAATTCAATCTATACTAAATTTAACAAGATTAAATTCTTTACATTTTAGTATATTATATTTCTTTTTCGTAAGGGGCATCCACCCATTAGGCCAATTGGGTCCGGTCAAATAAAAACATAAAGGGATATCGGTGAAAAATTTAGGGAAAATTTTTGAAAATCTGATGCTAAATATTTTTTTAGACTACCGGCTACGAATATTTACATTGCAATCTTGATTTTTTTTAGTAAGTATAAAAATGAATATGTATATATATATATATATATATATATATATATATATATATATATATATATATTAAATTTACTTAGTGCTTATTACTTGAAAATCGTGCATTAATTGTTAAATTCTTGGAATACAGCTTATAATATTCATTTTGTTTAAAAATCAAACAAAAGTAAATGATTTACGAGTCTGAGTCATGTTATGAAGCGAATGACATAATCTCATACTCGACGTTAAAATTCCTAATCACAACTCAAAAAATATAAATGATTAAATTATAAGAATTTCTCAATAAATTTTCACCAAAAATCGTTCCTTATTACCATTAGAAATGAGTACACAGGATACCCATTGCAGTCTGAACCTTGTCAAATTAGTAATTCGGCTATTTTTGAACTAATCACAGGTTGATTTAGTTGAAATAGGGAGTTCCTTGTGTGCAGGAGACAAAGGTGAGTAATAAACACCATTAATCTCATATTGCCCCAAAATGTCAGTTATAATCTTGTCAAACCAAGCTAGCGATATGGTATATTTTTAATATTTAAGAATTGATTAATTAATAGGTTACAGGTGTTTTTGAAAAACATTTGAAAAAGCTCTTATGTTATTTGTTATAAGCCCCCTTTTGTTGCTGTAAATTCATTTTTAGACTGAATTATTTACCTCTTTATTATTTGCTTATTGGTTATAGACTAAAATATTAGAAACTAGGTTAAATTTGGATTGAGGTACTGATAGATAATATTTATGTGCAAGCTGCTGCTGGCGAAGTGAACCCCTTTGCTGGGGAGGGTAAGGCCCCTCCTCGCCCCCCGCCCCCACGCCCTGCCTCCCCTCCCAAGTCTGCCCTTGATGATCTAAGTAATGGAATCCGTGCTGCAATGGGCCAATCCCAGTCGACCCCTCAGCAACCCCCTCCACAACAGCAACCATTCCAACAACAGCCTCCTTCACAACAGTCTTTCCAACAACCGACTCAATTTCAGCAACCTCCACCTGCCCCGCAGGCATTTCCTCAACCAAATTATCCTCAACCAGGTCCTGGTCAAGTATTCCAACAGCCCACCATCCCAGGCCAAACTTACCAACCACCTGTTGTTGGGGGTCAAGCATTTCAGCAGCCTGTAGTCCCTGGGCAGACTTTCCAACAAACCCAACCAGTTATGTTTGCATCTTCCTCTTCCCCAGCAAAGGTTCCGATGGCTGCCATGCAAGGTAAGATTATTAGACTGAATTTTAAAGAAGAGCTTCTGAAACAAAACAAATAATTTTTTGTGAAATATTTATTATTTTTCAAAATCACATTTTACATATTTATATTGTGTAAAAGTCAGATAATTTATCTAATATTCACCTTGATGTCAGGAGCTCTTAAATTGTATTAAAATTATCTATGAACAAATAGTGTAAAGCAAGGCACTGATATTGATGCATGGATTAAAACGCACTCCTTTACTTATTTTAGTCAATTTATATTTTATTCTGATTAATAGTTTGCATTTTAAATTGTTCCAACAAATTTCAAAAGGTACTTTTAACTGTTTGATGAATAAATACAATTCTTTTACTTTACAATCAGAAGTTGAATCCTAGAAAGTCTGCATAGTTCTAGAAAATCTGTATAGTCCTATTACTTAAAAGCCATGGAGTTTCGAAGCTTGTTATTACTGCATAATATAAATTTCATTCGAAATATTCATGTACAAAATAATTTTTGTCAAAGAAATACGGTATGGTGCTTGCATAAAACAACTTTCACCTACCACCCTACTTTGAGAAGAAATATCCTTTTATTTATAAAGAAGTGAAATTAATTATATATACAACTTATATTATTTAAAACAATTGATTATGTTTCTCTCTAGATGTCTAATCTCTTAAATTTCTGTTGTTTTTTTTTTCTTTCTGTTGTTCTTGCTACAAATTTATATTTTAATTATTTATTAATTATAATAAATAATTTAGTGGCTCACAATTTTTTTATTCTGTCATGAGCGACAAGGATAAGGAGAACCATTATATTTTATTACTGTCTACAATTTTAATTTTTATATTGCCGTAATCTACGCAATTAAGTGTTCGATAATATCAGTGCTTGCATTTATAAAACTTTTCGCCAAGCTCAAGCGTGCGCTTGGATTTTTTCGTCAGTTATGCGCTCCACATTACTAAGTTTATTTCTCCAAGCGGTCACTCAAGTCTCTTAAGCAGTTCTCACTCCCTCATCACCTTCCCTTATTCCTACATTAATTAATTATAAAATTTTTTCATATTTTATGTTTAACCATTTGTTATACCCGGTTACAATATGAAATGATTAATTATTTAAAATAAAAAAAAGTCTGCCAAGTAAGGCTAGTATTGCTTCCTCACCATTTTCATTAGCTAAAAAACATCTATATCACAGGTCAATCTAACAAAATCTAAAATTTTTGGTATGAGAATAAATTCTCTAGAGAGAATAAAATCACCTTAGTAATTCCTCAACATACACAGGTTTGATATCCACGAGTTTTGTTCCTCAGCGAGTACTAAAATGCGAAAGAGTTCTGCGTTTTCATATGACCTTTTAAGCTGTAGTGATATAGATTTAATATTTAATTTTTTTAATCGTAAACGGATGAAACAAAAAATCTACAGGAAAAATTCAACTTGTTGTTTGTTCAGAGTTAGCGAGATCAATACTATTCTTCAGTCAAAACAAAAATAATTAAGCTAGAATATAAAAACATACGTGAAATTTACATAACTTTAATATTTAAGGAGGAAATCGAGACAACAACGAGTTGGTTGAACTTCAATAGAAATAAACACAATCACAAATAAAACTTCTTTATTTTTACTAACTCACAGTAAAAAAATAATTTAAATTTACTGAAAATTACACAAAATCTAAGTAACGGCAGTAAGTGTCATGCCAGTAATGTTTGGAATCGACCAAACAATACGGTATCAATTAACTTTTGAATAAAACCTAAAATTTTATAACCCCATGTAAATATTATATTAACTTAACTCCCACTTCATATGATCAATGCCTTCTACATTTTATAGCCATTATATTTTTAACAATTATTTAAAAATAATTTTATTTATCAAATGTAATTCAATGAAATTGATACCAGGTAATTTCTGTACTATTCTCCAAATTTGGATCCAATCGAATGCACCCTTTTTAAACTATAGGCATATCAAATAATACATTTCCTGATCTGAAAGCGGAAGTATTTTTATTGGAGTATTAGATAGAATTTGATAAAATCGTTGCCTACAACAATACTTCCCTGCCTTCGATAGTGAGGAAGCAAAATTGAAGGTATTTAAGAGGAAGAAATTTTGAAAATTATGCTCTTAAGCCCTGTTAGAGAAACGATGAAAATAAGATCTATATTGCATTAAAAACTGCTTAATTTTACACTGATATAATGAATTAATTCAAAATCGATAATATAAAGTGTCACTTTAGGATAGTTGATTTTAACGAAACAGTGATGTAAGATCTCAGCCATGTACAAACCTAAAATACGCAATTTCAGTTTCATACGACTTATCATTTTTGAGCTAGGCTGTTAATACCTTCACAAACACATACAGACCATTTTGTGAGACTTGTTAATTTTGACTCAGTGGACCTCAAAACATGTATTTCTATTGAAAATCGGATTTGAAGTTTTTCATGATTGTAATACTTTCTCTTTCTTGAGTGAGGGCAGGGTGGCTGATCGGGTTAATGCGTGTGCACAGCACCGCATATTTCCCAGCAACCTGATAATCGAAGTTATGAATGAAATAATAGTTACAAGTTTGGGTCCCAGCGTCACTTTTAAACTCTGCCATTAATCCCCACCCTCACCCTCTGGTCTGGGTAAAGCCTAAAAGGCGAGGAAAGGGAGAACAAAAAAAAAAAAGGTAAGTGGAACTAAAAGAGGACTTAATATATTTTGACCTGGAGCTTCTCAAAGTTTCTTTATTCATTAAATTATTATTCCATATTATCAAATTATCCTAAGGGATGTTTTCATGATAAAATATTTTACAGAAGGAGGTGGTCCATGTGTTGGTAAAAATAATAGCAAAGCAAAAAATATTGGTAATGTCATTAAAAGGCTATGTTTAATAAATAGTTACCATTATTTGATGCTATTGTTGGACTGAATCTCAGACTGTCTCTTTCTTGATTTACCTATGATGTTAACCAATGACATGTAATAATTTTTAATTAAAGCCCCTTTACATATTGATGTATCTAATCTGTTAATATATATATTTTTTAACATTTGTTTAATTTATAAATGCTCAATTAAATAGTGACGGAAATCATACTTAAAAGCTGATCTTTTTTTTAAAATATAATTTCAGGCTATGTTCTTCCCACTTGTTCTATTAATGCTTAAGATTCTTATCAAGTTGGTTATTACCCACATGTAATCTATACATCAGAGGTATCACATACCCAATTTTGCTGATTTTGATTTTAATTTTGCAACAATTCAAACACAAAGATGAAACATTAACATACACATAAAATAAACAACAAGCCATCCACAATGTATTCCTAGCGAGCAATGTGATGTGATTTAAAACATCTGTTTGCTTTCCTATAAAAAGGAAATGTTACTTATGGTTGTTTATTTCTGACAATTAAAAAATAAATATATAATAATAATTCTAAATGGAAGTTGTCAAATACAATACTAAATATTATTTGATACGCCAACATTTCAATCTATGTTGTTGGTAATCAAGACTATAAAAGATACAAATTATAAATATAAATAAGTACCACATAAAAAAAAGAAGAAATAATTGAATTATCAATAGATATTAAACAAGTACAAGTTGTCCGATAAAGAAATTACAGAACTTATAAGATGACATCAGTGATGTAGTGAGTTTTAGTTTAGTTAGAATACAAAGTATTATATATCAATATTATGTAATTATTTAATAATATGCAGTATCTAATAAAAATATACTTTTTTACTATATAGTATTGTCAACTCCTCAAATTATCTACTGATATCTTATTCTTATTTTATCACAATTTGTTTGAATATATTAACTTACATGCTAAATTCTCCTTTTATTATTATTATTATTTTTTTTTTATCCATTTTATATATATAATAATTTGTATTGTATTCTAACTATACTAACACGTACCACATCACTGATGTCATTTTATAAGTTCTGTAATTTCTTTAACAGACAACTTCTACTTTTTTAATATATACTGATAATTCATTTATTTTATTTTTTTACATGGTACCTATATTTATATATCTTTTGTAGCCCTAATGAATTCCCATAATGCGGGTCGAAACATGGTGTTTCTAATAAAATACTATTTTAATATATAGTATTGTATTAGACTGCAACTCTCTCCCTTCCCCCTCCCCTCCCAACCAACTCCTCAATTTGTAATCACAGTTAACCATCTCCACATCAATTTTAATTTTTGTATTTACAAGGTTTTGTGACATAGTTGCCGATATTCTAGTAGAAAATTTGCTAAAAAATAGAGCAAAAATTACCTGCTAAAACATTTTGAGCATAGTTATTAGTTTAATACCTTTCACATCTGTAAAGCTTTTGTTTTAATAATTAACAAATAAAACTTATTTTTTTCTTTTTGTCTAATTCTTCCTAGTTTTAAACCTATGTTTTATGAGTCACTTTACTGAAGGAGCCTCCATAGATTTTCTAGAAATTGGTAATATAAAAAAATTCTTTTCTTTCAAGGTTTTGGGATTTTGAATTTGGTAGTTTTCGACATTTTTCAACTGTGGAATAAACAACTCAAGGCAGTTCACAAAACTCACCAATTATCTGATCCACTTGAATTTAATTTATCTAATTTATAGTAAACTTTGTTTCAAGGCAATTAAATTTGTGTTTAATAGTATTTTATTATTATTATTAGCTTACGATATTTTAAAAACAATATTTAAATATTTCAAAGGATTACTTTACTTTAAGACTGTTTAAGTGTTATTAAGTTTATATTTACAGCAGGTAACGAACCTCAGTCTGGTAAAGTGTTGACTGGCGATTTGGACACAAGCCTAGCACTCTTAGCCGAAAATCTCACTATAAACAAAGGAACTCAGCAGACCGCAAAGTAAGTTGTCTTTATAGAAAAATAATTTTCATAAATTGTTTACCAATATTTTTTTTCTATTTTTAATTGATCTTATTCTATCTTAACTCAGCTACTTCATAATGAAAGAAGTTTTCTCATTTCTAAGTAAAAATATTGTGATCCCTAACAGTCAGTGCCAGCATTAGACATTCGGTGTCCCCGAGCAATGACGTCATCTCGCCTACTAAAAAAAATTAAATTAATTTCTTAACCTGTTTTATATTATATAATATTTGAACTTTATTTCATTCAATATTTTTCTAATACAGTTGCTTTATTGATAGGCTAAAATAAATTATTTTAATACGTTTTGTATATTTTTTTTTTTAACAATTGACGATCAGCCAGTACCTGGTATAATTGCCCCACCCTAAGGCTGGCACTGTTCCTAATTTTTAAGTAATTCAACTTGTTTTTTAACCAAAATTTCAATATATTTTTTCACTTCAAAGCGAAATTGTTAGTAGCTTGCTAAAAAAGTCAGGATTTTTCAAGATTGAAGTCAATTGGAACAGCAGTTTTTCATCTTGATTGGAAAATGTTCTTTTATCTTGATTTGAAAATGTTCCTATACCTTAAATGGTATTTCTAGGTTTTAAAAATTAATATCTTCATCCTCATTTTGATGTGTATATATAAATGTTTTATAGAGGAATGCAGTGGAACTCGCCTAAGAATGCCGCAAAGCCTGGAACTGGATGGACACCACAGCCGATGGCTGCTACAACAGGTGCTAACTACAGGCCAATGGTGAGTGATTTGTATGCTTTCCTTTCCTGTATGCTGACCTTGGGTGGGACATCATATATACTCCTTTTGGCATGGTGTTCTCGCATTGCTTATTTGGTACTGTTTTACCAATAAGATATATTTTTTTGGAAAACAAAATGAATTCATAGTTTTAACAAAAAGAAATTTTTGTTTTATTTATTATTATTTTCTTGTAATCGACAAAATTTCAGTTTTGTAAAAATTGTAAATAGCACATTTGATGAGATCGATCAGGTTCTGTTTTCCTAAGCATGTTGGTTATGTTGGTTTGAGATATTTCAATTTTAGTTAAATAAGTTTATCGCACTTTAAGATTAGACTGGTGGTTTAATAATGTCACTTAGATGTGATTTTTACAGTTTTTCTATTTATTTTTAAAGATATTTCAATAATTTCTTTGGTTTAGTCTTTTTTTTTTTAGTTAAAAAACTATAAATTGATCAGGTTAATAACAACTAAGTTTCTGTTTGCTTTTAGTTATCCCTTTATAAATTAAAATTGCTATAACTAAATTATGTAGTTTCATAAATAATTCAAAATTATAACCTATTTATTAATCATAACATAATTTAAAAATAACTATTAGTAAAATGTTTTAAAACTTGAAATCAACTTTAAATAAAAAGCTTGGGTAAACAATTAAATATGTGCACCTCACCCACAATCCACCAACAATTGTTACTTGAAAATTTAAATATTTGATTATGATTATCTATTGCCTTTGGTCTTTTTAGAGATTTATCCTTCATTTTACTGTTTATAAATTTTAGACCCATTTTATACCACATATAACTATAATTGGAAGTCCGAATAATGTATAAAAACAAATGTAATTTTCACCTCATATATCACAGTAGATACAAATAGTCAAGATAATATTTTTTTTTTTTCCGATCTGTTTTTGACCTATCATGGTTTTACAGTATTATGTATTTAAAAATTTTAATTTAAATGCGTTCCTTTTTCTTTCTTTTTTTTCCAAAAGATAAGATAAATTTCAAAACCATAACACCTATATTATTCTTAAGTTACATTGAATCATTATTTTTAAATAACAATCTTTATATTTTATTTTATTTTTTATATCTGAAAAAAAACCTGATTAATTGTTCAGCCAGAATTTTGTTATGAATTATTTTGCATTACATTGCACTGCCAGTGAATGATAGTACAGCAGAGCCTTGCTAATTCAATCTTGATAGTATCAGGAAGTAGGTCAGAACATATGATAGGTTGGGTTACCTGTAGGCCAAAACAGAAATCTTTGATATAATCTTTTTTTCTCTACTATGTTTGGAACATTTATATTAAAATATGTTTCTTGCTAAATAAAAAAATAAACAAAAAAATAACTGTAATAACAAAATATATATATATATATATATATATATATATATATATATATATATATATATATATATATATACATACATACAACTATATATATATTATATATTCAGCTAGGAATGAATGAGGCTATGTATATTCAGCTATATAGCCTCTGTGTGGACTATGAATTTTTAAAATTTATTCCACACATTTATAGCAATTGTTCCTCTATGCTTTGTTGATGATCATTGCAAATGCTTGTTGTACCAAAATCTGCTAAGTTTTGAATTTTAATGGTTTATTACTATATTATTATTGTGTCAATATGACATACTGCTATATCAAATGGCAATATGGTGGCAATATCAAACCTGCAAAGCAAACATTTTCTTGTGTATTTATGAAATTGTCAAACAAAAATAAAGTCCAAAATTTAGCACCTGGTCATTTACTATAAAAAAAAAAAATAATAATAAAGTATTTTATAACCCAACAATTATTTTATTAACATCACATGAGTTCCAACATTAACAAGATTTTTTCAAATCTGAGAGTTTATGAAATCTACTCAACTATGGTAACAAACTGATTCGAATTTGTTCACAAAAAGATTGCCTATGATAAAACCGATGCCTGTTAAATTGGGCAATATGTGAAAACTGTGTTTTTTACCTTCTAGAAATATTTTTTATTTGAACAGGTCAGGTATCCATTTTATTTTTTAGATGTAGTGATCACTAAGTCAGTCATTCAGTGGTAACTTTCTGTTATATGATAGATTATCCAGCATATGCATGTCTAGATTGTTCATGAAATACTTTGTATGTATATAATGGTAACATTCAAAGACACTGAAAGTTAAATTTTAAATATCTTGATATTGTTATATATTATTTTTATAAACTTTATTCTGATTTTTGGGCTTTTGATGAAGTATCTTTTCATCTCTTTAGCATCAAAATTTCACGAAATATAAATTCTTCATGTGCTTCAAGATATTATTAAACATATTCCTATGTACTTTGTTTGAACATTCTGTATTCTTTTTCATTCTGCAACGACTGGTTCATTTGTAAGAAATGTTTAGTTCTTGAAACGAATTAACAAGGTTCTTCTGTACAGTCCAATGATAGCACTTAAAAAATAACTGTAATAACAATAAATATTATTTTATATTGCTTTAAATATTTTACTGTAGTTAATGATTATTATTAATTTTTTTTTAAGAATGAAGAAAGTTAATGTTTTATTTTTCTTATTTAAATAATAAATATTTTATTAGTTATGATTTGTGATTGCATTGTCATGGTTATATTTTTAATCTTTTAAAGAATTTTTATTTCATGCAGAGAATGTCCTCACTCGACTTCTGTACTATCTTAGATGAAAGAAATGTGTTATTTAATAGGAAACACTTGATCTTAATTAATGATCCAGTAAGTTGTTCAAATACTAACTTTAAAAAAAATTGGTTCTGTTAATGCCATCTTGTTTTCAACGACTCCTTGTTTTCCTTATACATTAAATTGTTTTAATTTAGTGTTGTAAGAAACTTAAAAAATAATTTTAAATAACCTGATTCTGTTTGCTATAATCAGTAACCAATTTGAAATATAGTACTGTTTATGTTTAGGTAATTTTTTAAAAGTATATAACTATGATTATTGTAGTACTTTTCTGATCAAAATTCATATATATTTATCTAATTTAAACGATTATGTTAATAAATAAAATTAACAGAAATAAAATTTAAATGTTGGAAATAACCAAGTAGGTACATAAGAGTTAACATGGTCGATCATATACTTTTCTCTTTTAAATGAATTTTCTTATGAGGTTGGAAAACTTTTGTGTTATTATAGAAATGGGGTGGGTATCTTGTCTTATTGTAGAAATGGGGTGGGTAGCAAGGACCAAAAAGTTATTGTATGATGTCCTTAGTTGAGAAATACAAGGATTAATTAAAATTAATTGTTATAAAAAATTAAATAAATGTATTCTTTTACTGTTGCAAGCCCTAGGGGTATAATATACAATTGTGACTTAATACTTCACAATTTGTTTTTCCAACACAACCCATGACAGTGCAATATATTTGTTTTAATTATATATTTTTTGCTTGCTGTAGTTTATGGAAACATTTCCCTGTACTTTTCCTTACACTTATTCCTTTATTAAATATATTTGAAAATTTGCCCAGAGCATTATATTATTTCCATAAAGATCATTGATGAATTTATCGATTAGTGAGTTTAAAAAAAGCGATTTTGACTAGTTAGTTTGCTTGGCATAGAGTGCACGATTGCAGACATTGTTATATTTGCAGGGACCAGGCATGATGAGCACGCCAACGTTTGCCAGCATGCACCACATGGTAAGTAAGATACTCCAGCGCTATTGCTTCTGTTCTAGATTGCTAATATGCATTATCTTTAATCTAAGCGCATTTTAAAATTCTTATTCCTTTTTCCTTTTATATGTAAATATCTTTTTTCTTAGTTAATGACAATGTTGGTATGCATTTTCTTTTTTTTTTTATTATCTTTTTGGCTGGCCTTTTTGAAGAATATATATCTATATTTCTATTTTCATTTATCACTACTCTTATTTTACCATAAATTGAAAAAAAACATTTATTTAAGAAATTCTGTTGTGATTTATTATTAGTCACATATTAGTCAAATTTTTATTTGTTAATTTTCTTTTCACTATACTGAAGATTATTTCAAAAGTAACCTTGATAGTGTCTTGACTTACATTAAAAAATAAATGTGCTATTATTAAACTAAAAATAATATAAATAAATAAAAAATAAAAATTTCATATTCTTTACTAATATTGAACAAGAATTTCCTGTTTGTATGTGTTGAATGACAAATAACAGAATGTGATTTTCTGTAATTAACATGTAAAAATATTAATGTATATACTAATTAAAAAAATGTGTCATATTATTTATTTTGTAAATATATTTACAATAATCTATTAATAAATAGATTTATTTATAAATCTATAAATAATTTGTAAATGTGTGTCTAAATCTGTGATGTGGTATCACATAATATTCAAATGATTGGTCCTTGAAAATGATTGAAGAAAAATTTTGAAAATGCTGAAGTCCTAAAGGAAATAGGTTCAAGAACTATCAATCTCATATTTGTTCAAAATGACAAAAGAAAACTTTTTATACTAGTTGGGAGTATTAAAATACAAAACAAAAACACATAATATAAGAATTTGTTTTATTGTTATTTTAATTGAAATTTTTATTGAGAAATGAATCATAATTCTGCAATATTGTTAATTGGATACAATTAATCATAGGCTGAATAACTGAAATATTTCTGTCCCGATTCATTAGTTAAAATTAATTATTACTATTTTGATTAAATAAAAAGCTAATCTAATCACCCGGGTGTCTAAAATGCCTAACATCTCATGGCCTAATATATGTAGTTTTTTATTGCTCATAACATTTAACCGATCATTATTTTTACAATTAATTCAATCACTATTTTTACCACTTGCGTCTAGGTGATTGATAAGCTGTCTCTTTGGTTTGCAAATTTACGTACTTCAAATAATCTTGAATCTTCTATTTCATTTATTTTAAGATACTAAACTTTCATTATATTAAATAAGAATCGCTGAAGAGGAGTCAGTGCTTTGTCATACGATGTACAGTTGCACATCTAGCTTTCATTATAACATTTGCTTGTTAACTAAAGCACTCGCTAAAAAAAAAAAGTCCATTTTTTTTCTTTTTACGAAACAGGTGTTGAAAAAAAAAAATTAAGTGTAAATAGCATAAGCTTTGGTTTACAAATTAAAATTGGGTTGGTGTAGGGCATGATGGGATCTCCGCGGCAGGTACCCCCGCAGGCACAGCAACCTCAGGAGCTGGACCCCTTTGGGGCACTTTGAACAGGTATAATTGTCATTATTTCTTTCTTTTCCTTGAGTTATGTTTATTATATCATTTATTATTTCTCAAGTACAGGTAGTCCTTGGTCTCTATAAAATTAGTTTTTTGAAGGAGATTTCGAGAACTGTTTTGAAAGTTGTCGGTAATAATAATTGATTAAGTCAAATTTATTTTATTAAAGAAATCAAGATTTCTGCAAATATTTAACATATTTGTTTTCAAATAAATAATTAATATTAATATCAGGAGGATATATAAAATTTTAGCTACTTATTTTCTTCCAGAGGAATATTGAAACCCATTTTTCCAAACATAATTTATTTAATTTCCGCTAAAAAAATGTTGGGACCAATTAACACCTAAATAATATAATTTTAAATAATCGGAAATGGTGAAAAAAAAAAGTTAATATTAAAATATATATTACAGAAATGTTGTTATTTGTAATTAATGTATAATGTATCAACCTTGGTCCATTTTAATTGTTTTGTTTTGTGGAATGAGATACAAATTTTCGTTGTTACTTTAAACAAATAAGGTCTGCCTGTATTTATTTCTGTGGGATTTGGGGACTCTCAAGCAAATTTTCTTCAAGATTTCTCAAATGTTATGCTCAGAATCTTTTCAACTCCTTCACAGTCTGCATGCTCCATGTTACTAAACATGATCGACTTTGTATATAATTACTTGTTTGGTTACTGATCTATCTAATAACTAATATTTATTTAACTTATTTATCTATTGTTTTTTAAAACATTATCAAGTTCTTATCATTAAGAATGTTGTGCATCTAATGATTTATAAAACATATATTTGCATTAATAAATAAATTTATATTATTGTTTGTCATTGCAGTAATTTAGTGGCAATATTGATTTGAAGAAAGTTTAATGACTTTTTAATCAATTACGAACATGTTTTCTTTTTTTAATAAACAGTCGACTAAGGTGAGATTTTGTCATCATGTTCTGTGAAGCCATCAATGTTAAACAACATATTTCAATGCTTAACATAGTTTAAAATGTTAGTTAATAAATAAATTGTGGATGGACATTCAAGTTAGCATCCAATAATATTAATCACTATACCAACTATAATATGTTATATTATATTTGGTGAACTGCGATATACCTTTATGTGATAATACGAAACCAGGACTGGAACTAGGATTTTTTCAGAGAAGGAAAGCTTAATTTTGTTGTTCCTTCTTTGTCCTCCCTATAAATAATAATAAGGCTTCTCGAACCCGAAGGTTCGATGATAATACCACAATTGATGTTTACATTCTTCCATCAACTGGGCCCCGTCTAAACTCAACCCCGCCAGATCAGCCTTGAAGCAATCTTCCCACCTTTGCTTTGGCCTACCCCTAGGATGTTTGAAAGTTAGCACAGCTCATATTATAGGAATTCTTTCGTTACTAAGGCCCAACGATTTTACATGCCTATTTTATTCACTTAACTTAATCATCTCAATTATATTAATCAGGTACAGTTCGCACAATTTAGTATTGTGTAACTGCCTCAATTCTCTGGTTGATTCATCCTTCTTTGGTTCGAATATTCTGCACAATGCTTTATTTTCAAAAACCTTAAGACGTTGCTCATGCTTTAATATAAGCAGCCAAGTTTCATAATGAACCATAGGAAGAATAATGGTTTTGTAAATTCTAATTTTTAAGTTTCGGGACAAAAGGCATAAGCTAAATAGTTTTGTCTAAAAAAAATAATAAGCATTTCTCGCCTTCAACCTAATCTTAATCTCCTCTTCTGTTTCATTTAACTCTAGTTATTGTAGACCCTAGATACCTTCTCTACGTGTTCTCACGTTTTCTTCTCTATCGATATCACCGAAATTGTCATTGTTTTTGCAGCTAACCAAATATTTTGTCTTATCCATATTTATTTCGAGCCCCAGTTTCTCCTCCACCTCCAATATAAGTTTATAGTTTTTGTATTTTAGGTAACATATTTTAAAATTAATATCAATACATCATAAACATAAACTCATTTCAATATACTGAATAAAGATCAAAACACAGAAACAAAATTGTTTTATTTTACCTCAATAAATACGTAATTTCGTTTGAATTGCCCCTCCCTAGTTCTGGTCCTGTGTAAAACAATTATTTATGGCTGACCTCTTTAAAGAGATGTTCACCTCTTGTTTTTTTATGCTGGTAAGTATGGTTAGTGTTACTTTTACTTTCATTTAATATCATGAGTTAATAAATTACACGTAAGTAAATTGAGGTAATATTAACAGTTAATTTATGATATATTTAGTAATTCACTTTCACTGTAAGTAGGCTTAATAAATGAATAATTGCATTATTAAATTATGCTTCCTACCCCTCCCCGACATTTGATTTAGTTTAAACCAATATAACATTTTGTTTAACAGCACCAAACAAGGGTCAGTTGCTGTGTAGAAATCACTTGTAAGTTGCAAGTTTCAGAATAAAAGTGGCCTTGTGATCAGATTGAATGAAGAATAAAACTAATTATCTTAATTGCAGATTAAACACAATTGTACCAAAATAGAATTTTGTTTAAAATCTTAAAACCAAAAAAAAAATAATTGTAATTGTAGTTGACTTCTAGAAAGATTTTCCTCTAATCTTAACTTTATTTATACCTCAATTGAAGTGCAATTAATAACTTAATTGAGCTTATGTATTTCCTAAAATTTTAACTTTACAGTATAGTATTAACGAAACTTGAATAGATATAACTTTATATTACTATACAACTCAAGATCTGAAATTCTTTCTATTCCATGCTGCTAATTAATAATATTTTTAAATTCCTTCCTTATAATAAAATCTCGGAATGTATAATGTAATATTCTTCTTAAAGGCATTTTGTATCATATCAAAGTCAAACAATCCTTTTTAGAAAAAACCCTTGTCCTTGGTCTCTGAATATATTGGGTTTTGAATTACTGATTATAATTAATAATTATAACTTGAAATCTTAAAATGGTTAATCAGTTGTAATCAAGGGAATTGGTCTCTGTGCTCACTTAAAAAACTTAAAATTTTTTTGTGTAAATTTCATCTTATTTATTAATCATCAAAACAATAAATGCATCAAAATGAATGAAATCCTGTTATATATACACATTATGTATCTTGCTATAAACCTGCAATATGTTTGTGAATGTAAATATTCTAGAAAAACATCCTAAAGTTGAAAAAAATCCCAAAACATTGATGTATATATATGTGATAAAAATATACAACAAATTATCAAAATGAAAGGAAATTTTTTTTCCACAGAGGAAATAAAAATGAAAGATTATATTACATAATGTAAATTATTGTAATATTAGTATAAAAATATTCACTAATATTTTTTATTTCCAATTTAATTATAATTTTTTTTTACATAACATACACTTCTCACTTTATATCCTTATACTGGTTGAACAAATTTTTATTATGTTGTTTCAGGATTTCAAGTGGACTTAAATCATTTTGTAAATATAACAGTGAGCTGCTCAACTTACGACAGCTATATTGCCTGTTACCAACAAAAGGTTAATCATTAAATGTAAAAATCATAGAATCTAGCCTACCATTTGTTGATAAAATCCCTCTAAAAAAACAAAACAAAAATGACCCAGAGTTATGCGGCGTTGTTACTTCAGTAAAGCTTCAAACTTATCGTTTTGTTTGATTAATAGCGCCTGTTTTAAATAATGTCTTCTTTGTTGACTTCTATTTCTATATTTCATTTAATTTTTTTTTTTTTGTGTAAGAAGACAAATATTTTAGTCAAGATTAAGTGGAAGATATAATTGTTAAAATAAAGTGGGTAATAAAAAAAAAAAGAGATCTAGTGGGAAATTATTTAATAAGTAAAGTTATACATTTTCTATTAGAGAAAGTTACAAGTGTATTAGTTAACTAAATGCGGGAGACAATTGGTTTAATATTCATTGCCAACGAAAATACAGAAAAAAAGATTTAAATATATATATACATATATATATCGCATTAGTTTGGTACCTAATTAGAAAATGTATGTTATCTCCTTGTATATCTTTAAATTGTAATTTTAGTTGTGTCTTTTTATATAATTTGTGTCATTTGTAAATATTCGATTGTTTGGATTTTAATTTAATCCATTTATTATAAATATATATAAATATGTGTGTGCGTGAAATCTCGAAAAATTATTTTGAAAGAGGACATATTGAAAGCTATTAAATGTATTTATTTAAAAAAAAAACTGTTACGTTACTGATTGTTACTACGAGATTGTACTATATAATTATGAAACTTAGTCATTAAGTATTATTTAATTGATATAGGTTCTTATAAGAACATAACCTATATGTATAGCATATATATACAAAACATATTGGTATATAAGTATGTTTAAGAACATGGTTTGATTATGGAAAATCTCTTATCACGAGAGCAAGACAATATTATTTTTAAGTCTTCTAAGAATTTCATCTCATCAATATCATTATTGAAATTTCGAATCTTTTAATCAACATTTTAATAAAATTCAATGTTTATTAAGATATTATTTTATGAATATAGAATATATTAGAGAAAAAATGTATAAGTATTACTAAAAATGTAAACATACTATTTTGGAGGGGAGACTTTTTAAATGTTCACCTATTGCTGTTTGTCAAATTCTACAATGCTATTTTATATATTTTATTGCAAAAATTATTTTTGATTTGTGCACACGTATACTTCCAAGAAATATATCAAAAGCTCCTTAATATATAAAATACTTATTGACCAATAGATAGGAAGGATGAGTGCGTGATAGTATAAGCTACTTTATATCCCCTGTTGCCCCCAGATATTATCTAAGGCATGTGATATAATTACACAGGTATTTATTTCAGGCAGATCTGTAGTGCATTTCCTGCACCTGTGTACAGGGTGTGTATGTTCTGGTAGGGAAGGAAAGAGATTGATTAGCGTACATGTTAACATTTTCAGTTCATCACAAATCTTGTTTACTTAGAGTAGTCTTGGAGCAAAAAATACTCACAATTAAACAAAAAAAAAAAACTAGTTTTTAGTTAGAACTTTAGGAGACTGATGAAGGAGACTGCCCAATAGAAACTATTTCTGTTCCTAAGATCCGTCGGCTTGTGCATCTTTCTCTTTGGCCTTCCCACCTGCTGTCTTATTAGGTTATAGATCCAGTCTGTGGTTACGTATATATATATTGTGTATGTAGAACGCTTTCAATTCATTTTTTTTTTTTTATTTTAAATTTTGTATTAAAGCACATGTCGTTATTTTGGAGAGCGTGTTATGTTTTTTAAAGTTAATCTGTTTTATTTATTACAAATTGTTAATATTATTAATATCACATTCCACTAATTGTTTCCTTTAAAGATTTAATGTGTTTAGAAAATTATTTCTTTGAAATATGAATTTTAAAAATTGTTTATCACCAATAGCATTGTGAATGTATGCTTACTGTTCAGTTATATTGTTTAACAGTTATGTTTGGACACTAGATTATTATATTTGTATTTATTTCGTCAATGAAACAAAAGTATTATACAATATTCTTGTTATTCATTTTACCTTTTGTTTATTCCTTATGCCGTTGGAATTTGAATGGTGTTATATCTTTTACCTTGGAATGATAAGAGCTAATGACCAAAACTTTGAAATTTGAATGAACTGCAAGAATTGTTTTAGGACCTAATGCCATTCCATTATTGGTAAATAATAATTGGAAGGCATTCACACCTTTAACAATCAATGTATACGCTAATCTGATTTTTTTTGAGCTGTTCATTCAAATTTTTGACATTTAGACATCAGTTCTTTTTTTTCCCAAGTACAGATAAAAGGTGTTAAATTTCTTAACAACTACAGTGTAAGTCTTTTTTTATTAGAAGAATAAAAATACAATCTCTCACAATCATGGGTATTAGGGATTATGGCTCTATGTGTACATTTATAACCATATATTCACAAGCTAAAATACAAATTGGAAAAAAAATAATTATAATTAAATTTAAAAAAAAAAACAAATTTTTAATAATATTAAAAAGAAAATTATATATTAAAAGAATAATAAAAAGGAAAAACTATTTATATAAAGACTAAAAAATACATAAAACCTAATGTAAAATTTAAAAAAAATTATGAGGAGTTGATCGCACCCTCCCTCTCCCCTCCCCTCCCCCCCGATCAACTCTTTCTCATATTATATCTATGGTCAACCATCTCTACATCATTATGTAAAAAATTAATTGAGTGGTGCGCTACAAGAAACAATGGTGAATGGTGTGCTCAAGCAGAAAATAATGAGGGCTATACTTCTTTATTAGTTGTAGCCACAAAAATAAACGTTTAGCTCCCCACCTCATCTAACATAATGATGAATGTAAAGTTTTGGTTAAAAAAAAAATTAGTTTACTCATAATTTTTATTTGAAGAAAATAATTTAAAAAATTGTTTTAACCTTTGAGTACAAAAGCACGCATGGCACAGTTTGTTTGTTCAGACTTAAAATCCTATTATGACGATTTTGTTTAATAATTTGAAAGATTATTATAATTTCATATTATTTAATTATATTATGGCATTTGGTCTGCTGATCCTGATGTGTACATCACTTTGTGCGAATGTGAGTGAATTGTAATGTTGAACATCACTACAATTTGTACAGGACAGGCTTAAAATTATTTCATCTCTATTATATGGAATAAAAGAGAGAATCTGGGACAAAAAATATATGTCGCATTTTTAAAAAAAAACACTTATTGATATCAATGGGCTTATAATGAAAAGTTGTATTCAAAATTGTTTACACTATCACTTCTTTTACTAAGTATGTATTTCTTATTAAATCTCTTTGTTTTGTGAATGACATGAAAATCTGAACAATGCTTTTACTTCTTTTTCAACTTAAAATGTTTTTAATAAAAATAAGCTTATGATTTCAGGATTTTTTTTACCATTGACAGTCACTTTTTTGTTTTGAAACTTTATTTGTAGAAAATCTTTCGGTGCCCATGCACCATATTCATCTCTATAATTATATTGTTCCAATTAGGATAAATTAGCAGTTAATTTATAACATTAACAATATATGTATTACATAAGTTTTGAAATATCATGCAATTATTATCACATCATGTCACACCTTTTATTAGTTTTGTCTATTTTTTAAAAACATAAAAGATAAGAACAGTGTTCCGGTTCTTCGTCTCATGTCAGCTTTCTCCGAGAATAGCTCTCCTGTTTGTCGAACACCATCTTACTGAGTGCTGAGGATTTACTGTCAACATCCTCTATATTATCTCAATTATTTGGTAACTAAAGTTATCCTACCTTATTTAATTTACTATTATTTGAATTTTTATGTATGGCTATTATTTATGAATAGTATTGTGGGATGTGGGCCGCTTCCTATTTTGAATTTAGCACATTCTTTTCATTTATTGCTGTATAAACTTATGTAATAAATATATTGTTAATGTTAATTAAATGTTAATTTATCCTAATTGGAGTATTATAATTATTGAGATGGATATGGTGCATGAAAACTGAAAGCTTCTCTACAAATAAAGTTTTAAAACGAAAAAGAGACTGTCTGTGGTAAAAAAATCCTGAACTTATAAGTACATAAAAACAGTCTAAAATTATCTAATAAAAATAAAGGAATTAAACATCAAAGGAATCAAAATAAGGAATTAAAGGAACAATAATGATGTTAAGGGCAATTTTAAAATATATTTCTTGACATGTGTTTACATTTAGTACCTGTAAATGCGTTATAATTTAAAAAGAGTACATATTGTGTTTTTAAAAGTATTTAGCTCATATTCAGAGAAGCAAATATGGACCTGTAAAAAAAAATTATGTTTCCTTTTTTTTTTTTTGTAGTGGCCCTTCAGCCTGAAAATTGATAATAGATGACATCGAAAAGCTTAGATCATAGACAATCATTGATCCATGTTAGTGCCGATCTTCTTCCAGTCTTTATAAATTGGGAATGAAGGTCAAAAGATTATTTTTTTAAGGGAAGATAATTTAATAGTCTATTAGTAAGCGGCGTTGTACAGATTGATATGCTCGATCCTATGTTTCTACCTGTTTTTTTCTTATTCAGACATTGATTATTTTAAACAGATACGTTCTCTTGAAAAACTGATACCACAGCATGTTTCAGCATCAAAAACAAGGTCACATGTTGTATTTCAGAAAATGGAAAATATTGCTTTTTACGAAAATGCTCATTAGTTGCAACATTATAACTCAAGCCAGGAGTTTATTGTTCTTGATATTTTATTTTCACTGTGCATATGAAGTAAATATGAGGGTATTAATTAGGGAAAATAAAGTTGATGGTGATTGCGCACCACACATTACCGAAAAATTATTAAATTTGAATTTCACAAGGAAAATTATTGGTAGTTCATAAGGAACTGCGGATTTTTGCTGCATACTCATTCGCAGTCACCGCCTAGACTAAATGTAATTTTGGTACTTAAAAAGTAAAAGTTAATATTGGATTGTCCGGAAAATAATGCAGGATTTTGGTTCAAAAAGAAAGATTTACAACTGTTTTATTCAATCAAAATAATCAATACATTTCTATCAACGTGTTGAAAACTTTTCCATTTCCTCGGAATAGAATTTCCCATTTTCTACTTCCCTTTGTCCATTAAAATTTTTATCACATAAGTAGTGGTCCAGCTGTTAGAAAAAAAAATGTTAATCCATTCGCGAGAGGTTGGGAGAATAGGGCGGATGTGGCAGAGTTTCATATCCAAGCTCCAACAGTTTTGTGACATCATACGTGAGACCGTGGCCGGGCGTTGTGCAACAAAATGGGCCCTTTCCGATTAACCAAAGATTGCTTCATTATTGCCAATTTCTGATGCATTACATTGATTTGGTTACAATACGATTCGACATTGATGGTGTCAAACCAAATGAAGCCCACCAGTCACCATCACCTTTTTTGATGGGTTAGGGGCTCTGGAAAATGTTCTACTGCTTCTCCTTTGTCGAGCCACTCTCCAGGACGTCTACTGTTACTGTAAATTTTACATTTTTCATCACAAGTAACCATTCTGGACAGAAAAGGGTCGTTTTTGTTTCGGCAAAGAAGTGTAGCACAAACTTCATAACGCTTGGTTTTTTTTTTTATGTGTGTCGAACTCAACTTTCAATTTTTTTTACCTTTTCAATTCCCTTCAGATGGTCATCGACGGTCGATTTCGTTTCCCTGCAAGTTCTCGAACAGTTGTTCTGACAATCTTTGGATTTGACGAAGAAATGCCGCAGTGACAAAAAAAGACAATTGAGAAATAATACCTGTAGAAAGATAGCTTATCTTGTTACAACCTTTTTTTTTTTGTGAGGGGCGGAGGGGTTTTTCTGGGTGAGAAAAGGTGTCAGAGTTAAAAGATTTCTAATTCGTAATTTTCGGTTAATCTGCTTGTGTTAAACACGTGTTAACCCGCTCACCCACCCCACCCTCATTCTTGTTACAATTCAACTGTTATACATTTCATCTGTCCGTTACGCAATCATGATCAAACTTGTTTGATTTTCTTCAAATTTGGAATAAAATGTTTCTTGAAGTAAGGAAAAAACGTATTTATACGACATTGTATTTTATATCTGATCCTGGGCATTGGTCGTTATAATAGACCAATCATCAAAAACATGTTTGATTCAAAGTCGCGACCCAATATCTTATTTTGTTTTTTCTTTTAACACTTTGACTTAAAAAGAAAGGAAAGTTTACTGTGGTTTGAATAAAAAAAAAAAAAAAAAAATAGATAGTTACAATGGTGATAAAATTAATTATTAATTTTTTTATAATTATAAAAATACTCCCTGTTTTTTAAATCAAAATTGAAAGTTAGACAAAAACTAAATACATACACTTACTTGCTCAAACCCATTTGGACATACGCCTCACAGATTTACGGTTCAGCAAAAAAGACTCACTTACAAAAACTACAATCCTTTCAATCTAAAATTTTAAGACTAATAACTGCAGCTCCCTGGTATGTCAACAACAAGACAACGTACCGACCTAAGACAACCAACCATTGACCAGCACATACTTACTCTTTACTCCCGATTTCATCTTAAACTACACGGACATCACAATGGACTTATCAACGACATGGCCACGGCTGAAATGCTCATCAGGAGGCGACTGAAAAGGAGCTGGATGACAGATCTCCCTTCCTGATTTTAGGATGTAAACAGGCCAGGGAAGAGGTGCTGCTGGGCTCCATTTTTCGTCATGCCTATCATGCCATTTTCAACTTAACAACAAATCTGCTAATTGTCACTATCATGACAGGTGCGGATGAAAAATTGAAAAAAAAAAAAAAAAAAGTAAATAATCAATTGTATTGTGAAATTATACCTCACCATTTCTGGCACTGGCGGATCTACAGAGAGGGGAAGAAGTGAGCGCAACCAAATTTATTTCTGATTTAAACTCGAGGTTTATTCCATGAATCTGAGGCAAATCTTACCAATTGATGGCTTATAATTATACTTCGAAACAAACTCAAAAATT